AGGCAAGGTTCAACATTGAGCCAAACGAAAGTTGAACTTGTTGTAGGCACAACAACATACCTTAACTAAATAATCTGTTGCAATAATTTGTATAAAGTTTGGATAATGAAAAGGAAAAAGGGTAAGAGCAGTTTTGTATAAGTCACAGTATAAGCACATGCCTTCTGTAGTGGTTCCTTTTGATTTCTTTTCTTTGTGGCTTTCAAAACAGCTGGTTCCATGGGAAAATATCCTGTGACCAAGCAGAGCAGATCATGTCTTCTGCAATTGGTGGACAATTCCTTATCAAAGAGAGTTTACATTATCCTGGAGATTATGTCATTTTTGTTCGGTAAGTTTGACATGTACTGCATTCTGCCCCCCCATTGTTAGTTACCCTCCTTAATTTATTACTTTTGAACCCCATAACTCTTCATAGATTTTGTAGTTATTTCAACTTTGAAAGCAGGGTTCTTCTACTGTTTATTGTTGCAGTATTGATGGAAAAACCAGGCACTGGAGGGTGTCCTGGAGCAAGACAATGCAGTTTACAATTGATGATCAAGAATATTTTGACAGCATCACCAGCATGGTGAAAGTGAGTATCAAACAGTTTAGATTACCTAGTTTCAATTAAATCTACCACAAATTAAGTGTTAAAGACTTAAATTTACAGGGCTGTCAGTGCAGTGAATTCCTGGTTACATGTATGTTAAAAACCACATTTATTCACACCTGTTACAACTCCAACTCACTCACATCCTACAAGATATAAACAACTAATAACTTATGAAGTACCTTAGTTCACTTTCACAAGATCTCATCTTCACATTATACATGGTTAAAAAATGGTACATACTTACATCTTCTAATTAACACGTACTCTATACACTAAACTCAGTACTATATAAAAAAGAGAACAGTGTACCTGTAGCAAGGTGCATTGAGTAGACAACTTACCTCTTGAGCAACAAAGGCACAACTCCCAAGAGGTTAAGGGTGAGAGAAGAGGGTGTATATTTGACACGGTGTAGGTGTAGAGGGTGTATATTTGACGCAGTGTAGGAAAAAGTCTCAGCTTTTTGTGCTGAAACAGGGCAGTTGGTTGGTAAGTTGAAATTTTCTCATCAATTAATTAGCCACCCTTCAGTAACAGTAAGTTTAGTCTTTCTTGATAGCATACCTTGCATTATGGAGAAGGACTTTTTTTGTACTAAATGCAAATCAAATCATGTCTGAAATTATTATTTTTTTCTTTGGCTTGAATAAAACTTGACTGATTGAGGGCTCAGTTGGCTATTCTTAAATAAAAATTTTGCAGACTTAGATAATATTTCAATTGAAGTAGTGAAAGAGACATGAAAAGTAATTCTTATTAAATATCTTTATGAAGGGTGGATGCGCCAGATGTATCATTGTTTATTTTTCACCTGTAGTACTACCAAAACAACACAGGATGTCATTTGCCAATCAAACTGACGGAGCCTGTAAGCAGACAAGAGGTCACCAATGGAAGTGCAGATGATTCCTCCCTGCGTACAGGGGAAGGTACTGTAATCATGATCACACAGTCATAGTGCTCCTGGACCAATGAAATGAAATAAAGTAGTCAAAGTAGTAAAGAGACACAAAATACCAGTAGTCATGTGTATGTTGTAGTTAAATTTTATACTTCAAATTTTAATTTCTGTTGTTCTCGGTCATGTTAACCTATGATAATGAGTTTGAAACAAAGGAAGATAAAATTTGAAACAAGGATAAAATTGAACTACAACATATACATCTTGTAACAGCTCTGATGCTCAAGGCTTTATTCAGAGGTACTGTTTATTCTTTTATGTGTTTTCTGCAAACATGTGTGGATAGAGTGGGGATATTTGGTGTTTCTGCAAGTTGGTTATACAGTATTAATGGATAAATTGCTTACAGTATTTTCACCCACAACAAATATATGAAATCTATATATCTGAACTGCGGTTATAGAAACATATTTGTACACCATCCTCGCAGTAAAGAGCACTATTTAAGCAATAGTGAAAATCAGACCTGAAAAAATTCAGGTCTCTATGGGATTCGAACCACTGACCTCTGCGATACTTGTGCAGCGCTCTACCAATTGAGCTAACAAGCCAACTGGGAGCAGGTCATCAATTTAATTTGACATAAATCCGTAAGATGATAAATCAAACACAATGAATATATGAAATCCATAATTTATATCTGAACTGCAGTTATAGAAATGTATTTGTGCATGATCCTCGCAGTAAAGAGCACTATTTCAGCATTTATTTAGTGAAAATCAGACCTGAAAAAATTCAGGCCTTAGCTAGTAATGTGCAAATGTGAGTTAGCATCAACTGCCCCCACTGTTAAACAAATGATTAATACCAATAACTGATGTTTCTGCCAGATTTTCTTGCTTAAAAGACTTATTTATTCTGTTGTGAAGAGTTGTCTTTCCTAAGATTCAGTAAGCTTTCAAGTTTGTAATCAGTTTTTTTTGTATAATATATATGTTACTTTATGAAAGAAGTTCACATTTGGCAAAGTTCTTAAAATTATGGGTATCCTGATGTGAAAATTTCTACTTTAAATTTGTTTCATGAGAACTTTGTATAAGATTTCATGAATAATCTTCATTTACACCTTTCTTCTTTCTTTTTTTAATTCTCCTCAGATGATAACCTAGAAAGAGGAAGTCTTTACACAAATCCAGTTTCAGAAATTAATCTTACTGTGATAGTTGGTCAAGATACTTACTCACTTCTAACAAGTCCTTTCTATCAAGTGGATCATTTGAAGAAACAAGTTGAAGAATTGAGTGGAGTGCCTGTTGACTCTCAGTTATTAAGACTTAACGACAAGGCATTGGTGATGCACAATTTTTCTCTGAGAGACCATCATATTTTGAACAATGCAACTATTCATGTCCAAGTTCACCCATGGAATGAAGAGTAAGCACATGTATTTAAAATAGTCTGTGGTATAGTTAGTGTACTGTTAATCCTAAATGAATTGAAGAAACTTTAAGGGGTTGGTTTTGAGGTACATACATTAAAAGGTCTGTTCACTTTTTTTGAGGATCTGATGCAAATCTGAGGGATGGGAATAATTCTAGTTAGGTTCAATGGTAGGGTTGGGTTTACTGTGCCACTATTAAAAGCCTTAAAAAAATAGTCTTGATCAGCTCTGTTAATATACCAAACAAGGTCTCTGTTATTTTTTATGTAATAAGATACAAAAATGATTTTGTCTGGTCCCAATTTGAAAAAAAAAGATACATTATCTGCACTACCCTTCCCACTAATCATTATTCCTTGTCTCAACCTACATTTATATTATTTTGAAATAATTAATTGGTACCATAGGTTCCAGTTCAAGGGCAGCTACAGTAGCTGTGAGGTATTAAACTTGTGGACAAGTTTTTTTTATACAAAGTTAACATACATTTATTAATATCACCAGCTCTTTGATATAATTGAGAATTATTGTCTCTTTCCTTCTTTTTTTCACTCAGTTGGTATGTTGGCAAAATGTCAGAGAAAGAAATAGAATCTGTTGTCAAGAAGCTGGGCCAATTAACAGATGGAATGTTCCTCATCAGAGATAGTTCTAGTTCTCCAGGAGATTATGCTCTTTTGGTTTGGTGAGTTATTCACCCATGATAATAATAATAGGAAATCAAAAGTAATAAGTATCTTACAATGTCTACACCAAGGATGTGGAGCATTATTTTTGGCCCCTAACTGCTTGTCATCTTTGTTTGATTAGTTTGACTGGTTACAAGTACCCTATTGTATTTTGCATTACATTTACAAACATGTGTATGTTTGGCTGTAATAGGTTGGTTTCTAATAGTTGTGATAATCATTAGTACATTTTCCTCTGTTGTCTTCTGTTGAACACCTCTCTCTTGCTATTGTCTCTCTTGGTCATGGGTGCACATATATCTCTAGAATTTTCATTCCACTGTACCTGCTGATGTTGTATGAAAGGGAATCACAATCAGTAATCTTTACTTTGATTTATTCTGAAGTAGATTGTATTAGGTTTTCTCGGTATGTTCTGAATGGTGAAGGTCTATACATCCAAGCAAGTACAGCTGTAGGTTATGCCTGCTCTATGCCTTAGTTGTGTTCTGCATACTCAGTTCCTCCAGTTTCACTGATTTAAACTTGTGATTTGAAATATGTTTGATCATTATAATATTGTAACTTGGTGCAAGTGTTTAATTTAAATTGTATAATCATAGAACAAAAACTATAGTTACTGATTTTTGTGAATGAATTTTAATACTGATTAATGAAGAATTTTACTTACTAGAAACAACTGGCCTTTATTGTTTGTGGGCCTAATACAACCATCCTGTTTATATGGCCATTATTATATTTGTGAGCCACTGGCATCTAATCTGATCCCAGGCACCTGCATGCTGTATGTCTTTGCAAGTTTTTTGTGGTTTTGGTTGTAGGTTTAAGGGCAGGCGTAGGTCCTATCGAGTGTCTTATAAGAATCAGTCCTACAACATTGAAGAGAAATTGTTCTTTGGCAGCCTGTCTCAGTTGGTAGAGGTGAGTGCTAATGGGGCACCAAAAGTTTATCAGAGAAGCACTATGATGTACAATACTTGGAAGTCTAAATATTTGTTAGTCATACTAATTGTTTGCTCATATTCCTGATAGCCAGTATACATTTAACTTGTCATGGGTTCTATGACTGACTGTTTAAAGTGCACTTGACTCGAAATTTTATCCCCCTTTTTTTTTCTTACATTCAAAAATATATGTCATGAGAAGTATTTCAGCGAAAAAAAGGAAGTCACAACGTTTCAAGAACACATTTTAAAATGCGATTAAAGTTCGCATTTTTTCTGCAAAATATGGGACAAGAGCCTGTGAACGAATAATAGAGCTGTCACGTCAGTGGTTGTGTTGGAGATATTGTTCCCAGTGATCAAGCCGTTGTTTTGAGTAAACTACTTGTTGTTTACGAGCTAAATACAAAAATGTAATTGATTGATTGATTGATTGATTGATTGATTGAGGAATGATGAGGATGAAGATGGCTTATCTTCTGCCACTTTATTGCGGAGATTTGAGAAAACGGGGGAACGTTTTTAGTGGGCTGTATATTTGATGTTCTGCAGAGTATAAAGTGATTGCTATTGTCAGTTTTGCTGTGTTGTGGCTTACAGGTATTTAAATTAAAAAAATATTAAAAAAACTCAGAGGGCAATACTCGGTAAAAACAGATGAAATGAACATTTTTTAGGCAGTTTAAGTTACGTGTACACGTACAATGTATTACTGGATTAAAAAACGCTAGTAGTGTAATGAAAATTAGTGTAGGAAAGGAAAATTATCTCATGAAGTCAAAGAAGCTATTTTCACAAGTCATAAGAAAGATACTATCTTAAAATGCAGCTGAAGATAATAGCTTCAGGCACAGAGTGATATGTATACTTTATGATCAGTACTAAATAGTTATTGGATAATGATTAAAAAAATTATATTCTTTAGTAATGAATGATGTTACATATCTTTTAGCATTATAAATGCCAGAGTGGTCTTCTACAAACACTTCTAACTGAGCCTGTGAAATTTAATAGAGAACAGCAAGGTAAGGCTTGTTGCTTTAGAAATCTTCCCTCTATCATTTCTCTTAAAGATGTCAGCCTTGTTTTCCTTTTAATAACTTTTAAAACCTTTCTTGAAATTTGTTTAGCAGTACCCTAGTTCTCATTTAGGAGCATGGTTGGAGAGGCTTGATTTATCATACACCTGTTCTTAGTCATTCATTCTTGCTCTGAACGTTTGAGTAGTAGTATAACTATTCTGAAAATGAATGTATTTGGTTATGAGTTGATTATCCTCTTGAAGGTAACAACTGCACAGAAAATAAAATGAGATGTCAATGCCTCTTCAATTCATTTTGATTTCAGTTTTCTGGGTGACTTTTTCAGTTTTAATGGAAAATTAAAGCGGATTTCCAGTTTTCTCAGATAGGCTTTAACCTTCCTGTACCTCTCTCAGCATTGACGGAAAGCAGTTGTTTGATCGTTACCATTTGCTCTGCGTTGACCAAGGGTTGGTACCTAAAATTTCAGCCTGTGAAATCTCCTATGCCGGCTTAGTATACTCACTGAACCAATTTCCTGTCAGCGCAGCACTACAGTTACAAGCTACAGTAGCAGTAATTACTTTGTAAAATTAAAGTTAATGAGCTAAAAACGGAGCTAAAGGGGATTTTTTCTCTCACACAGGTCTCATTCCACCTGCCTTTCTAGCAAGAGGTCCCAAAGCCAAAGAGGCTTACCGAAGAGCTTTAGAACACGGTAAAACATGCGATATTCGTGTGAGAGTCATGCTGATTGGACAAGACCATGCAGGCAAGACAAGTGTTAAACGATCGCTTAAGGGTGACGAGTTCAACAGAGATGAGGCAAGAACAGCAGGTGTGCAGATGGACCCCCCTTTGTTAAGGGTCGGAAAGAGGCCATGGAAACCAGAATCCATTTCTAATGAGCTACCTATTACTATGTTTGATCACAAGAGTGCTCAGTTGGTGGCCAGGCAGTTATCAAGAGACCATGACGAACCAATCATGTCACCCAGTAAATCTGCTACTTCTGATGTACACAATGAAAAACCTGAAGATAGACAAAGTCTGTCCAATGGGGTGCACAGCGAAGGAGATGATTTTAATTTTGAAAAAAATCACACACGGACCAGTATTCCATCCAGTGGTTACGGAAGTTCATCAAGTGGTGACAGGAGCTCTCGAGACTCGCCCACGTTTCCACATATTGAACGTAAAGTGTTGAATGTTGGTGTTGAATGTAAGCTCAGTTTTGTAGATCAGACCTTAAATTGATCGGTAGATACGGGCGTGTCAGAGATAACACAGCCACCTATTCTCATTAGTGTCCTAAACCCGAATAGCAGTAATCCTGGGTCAGCTGCACGAAGGCAGCTTTCCTGTCCCCTGCAGTAACTGTCAAATCTAGAGTAACAACGTGAAACGTCTTTGTATAACTCCGGTCCGGAAAGATCCCTGTTCGGAGGACAGTGTGGATTGGTTCTCCAACCCCTAATTGTATCCAATGAATATCAATTTAACCCCTTTAAGAACCCTAGAGTGTTGACTCAATTAAGACGGTCCAGTACCAAGTTAACCTTGTATTATTGAGCTTAAATACAAGGTACGTAATTATTTTGTATCTAGATGTCTGTATTTGGTGAAAGTGAACAATTTAAGTTATTGTACCATCATTTTGACGTGAACTGAGAGTTGTTTGACTCAAATTGCTTTTCATGTTTTTTTGTTTTTTTTTTTTTTTTTTTTAATTAGCGGAGGGGAAAAATCCCCTTCTTGAACCCACTTCACCAATCGTTCAAGATGAAGTGTTTGCTAGAGACCCCGAACCTTTCCGTGATCTGTCACAGGAGATCATGACCTTGGTAGAACGTATTCTTAAAGAAGACAATCACTCGGTTGGTGCAGATCAGATATGGCCAGTGATCTGGGATTTTGCTGGCCAATCCCTCTATCACGCCTTACATCCCATCTTTATGTCGCGTGAAGCTGTGTATCTACTTGTGTCTGACTTGAGCAAAGACCTGTTCGAAAAGGCAGACGACAATGTAAAGCAAACGGAAAAGCCAGGTTTCAGGACGGCAACAAAGAGCGAGTCTAGTCTCGATCATCTCATGAAGTGGATGGATTTGGTTCACTCTTTTCAGGACCCAACCCTTAATGCCTTAGATATACAAAGTTGTGCCCAGCCTCCGGTCATCTTGGTTGGTACTCATGTCGATAAAGTGACTGGAGATCCATGGGATGCCATGAATAATATCCTCAAGAGTTTTGAAGGGAAGGCCTTTTCATGCCACATTGTCGACGACAAATTTGTTGTCGACAACACTCGTGCTGGACAGCCTTTCGAACGTGAGGATCAAAATGTCCAAAGACTCAGAGAGAAAATTATCTCGGTGGCATCAACATTGCCTCACACCAAACAACTCATTCCTCTACAATGGCTCCGCGTTGAGAAATTACTTCATCGCTTAGCCAGCAAAGGATACAAGCACATCACCAAAATGGAATTCAGGGAAATTTCTAACAAAATTTGCCAGTTCGAAGTGGAAGAGGACAGTGAGGAATTGTTGCATTTTTTGTGCGACTGCGGTGCAGTTCTTTACTTCAGTCACGAGTCGAATCTGTCCAACAGCCTGGTGATACTCGACCCGCAATGGCTGATCAATGTATTCTGCGAAATTCTCAAAAGTGTCCCAAGCAAGAAGGATTTAATTCAAATTCGGGAGAAACGCCGCATTCTTGCTGAAGATGGGATCTTGTCCAAAGAACTTATTAACTATACATGTAAGAAACTTGACCTTCAATTCCCCCAAGAAACGTTACTTTCAATCATGGAAAAGTGTAACCTCATCTGTCGCTGGAATGAGCAAAATGGCAAAGAGGTGTATCTTGTTCCCTCGATGTTTACGGCTAAACCAGACGGAGAGATATCTGGACTGATTGGTCAAGGGAAGCTTGCCCCAATTTACATTCAATTTTCCTCAGGATATGTTCCCTATGGCTTGTTTTGCAGATTTCTGACCTTGTTTGGTCAACAAATTTCTCCCAAGTGTCCTGCCACACCTCCGAAGCTTTTTGCAAACGCAGCTCGATTTTTTCTCGGCCAGAAAAGCAACTACAATTTGACGATAGCTTGCTTCAAGAGTGTCATAGCAATTCATCTGTTGTTTGAAGGGAAGTGTGAGGTTGGACGAGAAACGGCTTCCATCAGCAAACATATCTGCAGGTTAGTGTTTTATGTAAATAAATGTCATTTGGAATCACACAATTTCGATGTTGTTCAGCGCAGGAGCGAAAAGTTTATTGACTAAAATCGGTTCTAACCCTAACCTAACCAACACTTGTTAATTTGAGATACAATGAAATATATGAAGTTGATATATTTTGTACTGCGGTATTAGATACATATGATGCACGATCCTCGCAGTAGATAGCGCTATATGAACTTCATATATGAAGTTACAATGAAATATATGAACTTCATATATTTCATTGTAACTCATTTATCACTTTCACGGGTTTATTACGATATGAAGATACAATGAAATATATGAACTTCATATATTTCATTGTATCTGATTTATCACTTTCACGGGTTTATGACGAATCAACTTAACGGCCTGCTCCCGGTTGGCTTGTTAGCTCAATTGGTAGAGCGCTGCACTAGTATCGCAGAGGTCAGTGGTTCGAATCCCGTACAGGCCTGATTTTTTTCAGGTCTGATTTTCGCTATTGCTTAAATAGCGCTATCTACTGCGAGGATCGTGCATCATAGCNTTTCTTAGCAGTAAACGTCTGTAAACATCAGATCGTAGGTGCTCGCGCGAGCACACGCAATTGTCAGCGGTAGCTAAAACAGATCATGAGCAAATGTCGATCTTATAGAATCCAGATTTTTAAATGCGCGAGAACGCGCGTGGAAATTGCTAAACTCACGAAAGCTATTGCATGAAAACAAGTCCGGTGACCCCTTCTTTTTATTGTTCCAATATGATGATAACGTCGAAAGGAATAATCAGAAAAAAAACTAGAAAACTCTACGGAAGGAAATTTGCGATGTGTGAAAATTGCCCTTTTTGTAGATTTTCTGAAATTCCGCTCCGTAGAATTTTTTAAAAATCTCTGTGCATTTTCCTTTTCATGTGCCAAAGGCAATCACTGAAAAAAATCAGGGGGTCACCGGGTTAGTTTTCGAATTATTTAAGCCACAAGCTAAAAAATGCGTCTGACTAAGCCTATGAAAGCGTCGCCATGGAAACTGCTAGTGACGAAATGACAGTTATTTTTGGATAACCAATGATTATGTAATTCAACCCCGTAAAAGTGTTCAACTGGCCTTGGTCAGTCTTTCTGTTGTATTCTTTCAAAGTTACAAACCATCAAAAAGATGAAAACCGGTACGAGCCACCTTAAGTAAGGTCTTATTATTAGAGTGGACCGTATGACTTTTTCATTCGCCTATCAAGTTACACATTTTACGATTTTACGAAAACATCATCAAGACGAACAGTTTTCCAAAGTCACTCTAACTTAGATGCTCTCTGTAGCTTTTTCATTAAAAAATGTCCTTAGGTAGCTTATTGAATAAATGTATGAATTCGTTTATTGAATAATTGATATATGTATATAGTGAATGACTCGGTGACTTCGATTGGTTGGTTGATTGCATAATCTTCGTCTTGGAAGGCGTACTGATCATAAGTCATCCTAGTTTATACAGTCGGTTGCTTGGTCACCGTTAGGCAGACTTCCTTTTCTGCTGAACAGTTATGAGTTACAAGAAGATGGATTATGTTGATTGGATAAAAAATGTGTTACCTGAAAGCCTGTTCATTTTCGTTATGCAGAGCTGGGTTTGATGAATTTCTTTATTTTTCTTCAATAGCATCTACGCTGCACAGATCAGGATCCAGGTAAATCATTTTGTATTTAGCAATTAATTATCGTAGCTTCTGTAGAGCTGTCTCGCTCACTTTGCGTGGATAAGATTTCATTAAGCCGCGATTAATGATAATTGAAAAGTGCTCGTTTTCCTTGAATTTGTGTCACTCAAAGTTAGCCACAGTAATTCTAGAATGTTTTAATTCCGTTACAATTGACAGTGTGAATTTTGTGATTCAACTGAATATCAATATTCTTTTCAAGTCCCTTGTTGTTAATAAGGTGACTTACTCACCTTTTTCGAGTGTAACGATTGAATCACCATAGTTGTTTTAATAAACTTAGTGTTCTCGTCCTAACAGCCCAGCTGCAATTTAAACCTGGTGTGGTGTCTGCTGATGATCTTCTTCTCCTGGCGCGTGATGTTGGAAACAAGTGGGAGCAATTGTGCCGCATCCTGCTGAGCGAAAAAGAGCGACAACAAATTGATAACGATAAGACAAACTTATTTGATAAGTGCTATGCCACACTTCATACATGGAAGGGGGCACAGGGAACCAGTGCGACATATAGTGCTCTTGGAATGGCGTGGAAAATGCTGATGGAAGTAGACCCAGACACGGAAGATCTCTGTACGCAGTACTGCTTGAAATCACACGGAGTGATGGAGAGCAGTGTTTAATACACTAATGTCGCAATCTGATGGGTCAATTTACCGTTGTCGATAAATGTACAGACAACGCTAAACCACTCTCGGTTTGTTAAACTGAATAGGCTGAGTTTTGAGGATGGACGTCATTGCAGCATTCTTTAAAACGCATATTTACTCATTGTGATCCATGTTTGTTTGTGAGGCCAACGACAATAGAATGTCACAGAATAAATTATGGTGGGTTGAGGTGCAAATCGTTTGATATTGATTTTAGTTCAATATGGTACACTGTCCTCTCTCTCCGAAGTTTAATTACACGAATTGCCTCAACTTAGTGAAAATCCAATGTTCTCTGTAACATGTAGTCTCCCTCTTGAAGATACTGTAGGCTCAAAGTATGATAAACATACATAATTTAAACGTGGGAGACATAGTGATGAACTCCAGATCGAAACAGGAGAACGAATCAAGTAAAACAGATCAAAGGAACTTCTCTTCTGCTAGCCTTACTCACAAATCAAGTATTAAACGCGAGAAAAGTTAAATTAAAATTTTTAATTTTTCTCTTTTATCAAATTACTAATAATGGCAGAAGATTTTACCGATAGAGTTGCCCTCTCGATCTGGCCCTGGTTGTTCGAAGATTGAATAACGCTATCCACTGTATAAATCTCTATCCGGTGGATAGTGCAGTACCTTTTCCTATGTTTATCCGCTGGATAGCAATTTATCCGTTGGATAGCGTTCTCCTCCCTTTATACAACTGGACCCTGGGGTCGTAGGATTGCCTTCTTGACTGGTTTACCTTCCGCCTGTTAGGATCGTCTACCTTGTCGCGTTTCGTCTGAATTTGCCGATTCTTTGATTTGCTTATCTCTTAGCATTTGTTACTGCCTCGGCTGTAATCTCAAAATTACTTTCTGAGACTAATACGCAGACGCAGGCTAAATCTTTAAATATCATATTAATGTCTGTCTCGACTACTCGGCTAGTTAAACAGTCAGTTTCCTTTCTGAACCGATGGGGTCATCACGCTTGCAACAGCAGTTATCCAGAGGTGGTTATAACTATACCCCGACTTTGACATGGAGATGTGTGATCAATAATGCTTTGCCTTCCGAAATTGAAAGGAATTGTCGCGATGTATTTAATGAAGAATCACATTCATGAATAAATTCTCGGATTCTGATTGGTTAACGAAGCAAGGTATTTAGCGTGGAATCAGTAATTAGTAATCAAAGTTTAATGTCTTTACGTGGAGCATGGTTACCCATATTGCCCGTGCCAGAGGCTCATGTATAAAACGCAAGACAACAACCCACCCATCCCACCCCAGGAAAGGACATCCATCACACAGTAATCTCGTGCGTAGGAAATTAACGTCTCCTACCCCTAACCCTGCAGGAGACGGGACCTCCATTTATTCGTCCCTATCCGAGAATAAGAATTGCGAGTTGAAAACGAGGCTAAGTGATATTGTTTCGCATCTACGTAAACATAATTTTAAGCAATGCTGTTTCCTTTCTTTTCTCATTTTTATTCAGTTATGCGATTCAAGGAAAACGCATTACTTCACTCGTGAATTCCGCATTAAATTGCACTTGAAAACCAATATTGTACTTATCGCTTCGCGATTCGTGCGATATCGGTTTTCGCGTGCAATTTAATGCTGAATTCCCTTGTCAAGTAGTGAATTTTCCTGTATGGTTGCATGCCCACTTGTAGGCCGCGTTCTTTTTGCGGGCTCAGCTGATTGTGAAACAACATGGCGAACGGACTTGAGACCTGCCGGCGAATTCTTAGAGACAAATTTCCGGCAATCGACGACGATCTTTTTAAATATGTGACAGGTCTGTATTTTACTGATTGTTTCAGCCAAGTCATCAATTGATAGAAATACGGACTGCTCAGACAGAGGGCAACGATTACGTGTTCACTTCATTTAAGTGAGATAGAGCGTTTGATCGAAGAATTTATGATTTAATTGTTCTGGTATGTTTATATATTCGTGACTGGTTTTAGATCAAGGATAACTTTCTTACTTGACACAGAATTACTGACTGGTTATTATATAGTGGACTTTTACGTTACTCAGCATACCTTATCTGAAGCGGTTAAACTAATACCTAAATATCTGATCCTGAAAGCAATTTGTTGGGGAGATCAAAATTAGTTAACTTCCACCGATTGTCTGATAGATATTCTCGAAAGTGGAGTGGATGATTTTGAGAATGGTGAGGATATTTATGATGCCGTTGGAAGTATTTTGGCTGAGGTGGCTGGCGATGAAGGAGAAGATGAAATAATTGACTTGTGCAATCAGCTGCTAAGTACATTGAAAGGGTATGCAATGGAATTTTTTTTCTTTTGGGTCTGTTGAATCATTAGGTCAGACCATTGCTGTAATCATCAATTGTCAAATTAATTGTATTGAAATGGTATTTTATCAGCGTCACATATACACACCAAATAGCTCTATGCATTGATACGATATAGTTACATCAGCATTAATTATTTTTCTGCACTTTCTGTAGCGATGGCTGCAATGGCACTGACACAGATCAAAATGCCCAAAAGTTACTCCACACTCCTGTTAATTTGAAGGAAATGGCAAAAAATTTGGGTAAGTGCTCAGGTGCTATGAATACGAACTGACAGAAACTTACAAAAGTATACACAGAGACTCCTGTCACCATGTATTGTTTATAACTACTAGTAAATGAATAGTTGGTGTGATCAATAAGCTTTTTACTAATGTTAATTTGGTATTATGATAATATGTATTTCTCTGTGTTCTTTGCAAATAAATATCTAGAAACACAGACGGATGATGATCCATCAAGTATTTGGATTGTTAAAAGGGAAAGTAACACAGTAAGTACAGTGGCCATACATTGCTTCACACAGTGACACACGCTGGTAGCCCCACACAGCATTCACAGCCTCATACAGCCCTTAAAAGTAGGAAGACTGAGAGGTGCTCTTCTAGGGCCCTATACACTCTCTGAGAAAGCTCCTTATGTTGTTAATTTAGGTTGTAGATCAGAAGAAACTGCAAAAGGCTGAAGCAAAGTTAAAAGCAAAACAGGAGAAACGTGCACAAGAAGATGAACCTATCAATGAAATCAGAGGAAGGTGAGATAGTCTTCCCTCACTTGTAGGACATCTACAAATCATCTACATCTACAAGTTAAACTAAATCCAACCTTATTTCTTGAGGGTAGCATGAAACAGCTACAATATTGATAAACTTGTTTCCCTCCTATATTAAATACATCAGATGTATATACCATAGATTTATATCGTATATATATATTTATCACATGACTCGGGCAGTCAGAGGGCCAATAACTAAAATCAACCAATCAAAATGCTCTATTGCCGGTCAATATTCTCTCAGTATTGGACCGGGCACTGTCCCGAATGGTCCCGAATGATACCGCACTTGTGTCCCTTTGAACTTCAGTCGTATAATAAATCTCTTATTAACCAAGCTTGCTCGGGACCGTTCTGGAAGAATATTGGCCCTCGGTCTTTTTTGTACGGACCTCGCTGCGCTCGATCCGTACTATCAAGACCTCGGGCCGACATTCTCCCAGTATGGCCTTCACACTTGGTTAATAAGATATATTTATCCCCCATATATATTTATAAATGTCTTAAAAATAATATTATCATAATGTAAAATATACATATAAAAGATATAATATCGATAAAGATACATTAGAGCTAAGAAAAAGGCTGCTTGGAGGAAGTCTGTGCCATGCCTATTTTTTGTTATTGATCCAGGAAAAAAATTGAATTTATCCTGCAATTGCATCACATTCTTATGTCATGTACACAAATTTGAATGTACCCTGTCTTTAGTACATGTTGTACATGTATTTGATCAAAGTAAAATGATTAACAGCAAGGCATTTGAAATTAAACATTAATTGATTTTGGCCTGCTTGAACTTGATTAAAATTGCATGGTTACAGGAATATAGATACTAACAGAAATTAAGAGAATGATCTAAGTGAAATAGATATATATATATTTTTTTGCCTGTAGACAAATAGACAATGCATCAGCTTGCCAGAGCTCAAACAAAAGAGAAAGCAAATTAGAAGCCAGTGGTATTAATAAAAGTCGTGATATCAGGATAGAGAACTTTGATCTTTCCTATGCGGAAAGGTAAGTGGTTGTTTAGGTTTTATTTAACATAAAATCAAAGAGAATTGGTCGTTTGTTGTTTGTCCTCATATCCTACTGTATGTTTATTTTATCAAGGGACAAGGGTAAGGTCGGAAGGGGGGAAAGGGTGGGAAGGGAGGAAAGGGAACACCAATTACTAGATCTTAGCATGTTGCTTAGTTACGTGAAGCAGTTGCTGTTAACATTTGCATCTGTGTTAGCCTCATAAATGATATTCTATATACAATGCTAAAAATTAGGAAAAAATTAAAATGTTTGAACCAAACATTTTTGGCTGTCTGCCATCATCAGGGTTCTGATGATGGCAATCAAAAACGTTTAGCTCAAATATTTTAATTTTTTCCTAATCTTTTAGCCTTGTATATAGAATATACTTTACTAAGCCAACATTATGGACACTTGTAAATGGTCTTTCAAACTTTTCTCTTAGTGTTTGTGTAAATGAGTAATTAAAAAAAAAAGAATTTGCTACAGATTTTCAGACAATTGCACCACAAATCGAAAATTCCATTGATGAAGACAATTGCATTTATGATATACAGAAAACAAAAGTGCACAGATGTTAAAAGAAAGTTTGAAATGAAATTTTGTCATTATTGGGATGCAAGCATTGTAATGTATACCCCCTTAAACTATTTACAAAACCTTTTGTGTGTGCAAGGTTGATTTATTTGATACTTAATAAATAAATATTTCATTTGTAGCTTATTGTTTTAAAAATTTTAGGGTATTGCTGAAAGAGGCAGAGTTATCCCTAATTTTTGGCAGGAGATATGGTTTGGTGGGTAGAAATGGAATTGGAAAGACGACCCTGATTAAAATGCTCTCTAGGTATATGTACTGTTTGCTTTTGTGAGATTTGTTGATAGGATTCATTATGAGTGGTCTTGCCAGCATGAGCCAGACCATGATTATGCACTGATATGCCTATCCCAGCATGAGCCAGACTGTGACTATGCATTGATACACTTATCCCAGCATGAGCCAGACCATGATTATGCACTGATATGCCTATCCCATCATGAGCCAGACTGTGATTATGCATTGATACACTTATCCCAGCATGAGCCAGACTGTGATTATGCATTGATACACTTATCCCAGCATGAGCCAGACTGTGATTATGCATTGATACACTTATCCCAGCATGAGCCAGACTGTGATTATGCATTGATACACTTATCCCAGCATGAGCCAGACTGTGATTATGCATTGATACACTTATCCCAGCATGAGCCAGACCGTGATTATGCATTGATACACTTATCCCAGCATGAGCCAGACCGTGATTATGCATTGATACACTTATCCCAGCATGAGCCAGACTGTGATTATGCATTGATACATTTACCCCGTTCACTCTCAGAATCTTATTAGCAGGATCTTATTCTCCTTACCATTTGCCATACAACTCTTAGGATGTTACTCTTGATTGAAGAATTTGGGATTTGATCAACTAATAATCCCTAAGTGATATTTTTATTTATTCTCACCACTTTTCTGCTTGATTTTGTATTGAAGTTGTAAGGAGAAATTCTTTGTTGGTCACTCATGGCAGTCAAAGGGTTAATCTAAGACTTGTACATAGCAAATTCCACATTAGGAAATTAAGATACCCTGCATTGTAAAAGATCAGATGCTCATGTCCCAGTTTTTCCTTATTTGAGTCTGTGCCTCTGTGAAGGCTTTTGCCACTTGAAACTAATTTTTAATGTGTTAATGATAAATAAGAATTCTACCTTTACATGGATTAACTTTGGAGAGAACATTAATTTCATTAAAATTTTAATAAAAGTTGTTTCTTTTTGTATTTAAATTCTTTCCTTTAAATTAAGAATAATATATTTTTATAGTTGCTGATTAGTCTCACAATCTTTTCTATTCTGAAGTGAATTGTGTGCTATTTACAAATTAGACCTTTTGTTTCATAATTTTTAAATTGACACTTGCAACTCTTGGTTGTCTGCAGAGACTGAATATTGATATGTCAAAACTAAGTGTTTACAACTCAGATTCTTGATGTCTTTTTGTCTGCAGGCGTGAGTTATTTGTGCCCTCTCACATTTCTATTTTGTGTGTACAACAAGAAGTAAGTAAGACTTAAAAAGAGTTCAGTTATTGGAAATACCTACCTGCATTTTAAAAACATGATTGATTTTTCTTAGGGAGATGAAGTTTTGTTACTATATTACCACAGGTAAAAGGTGATGAAACGCAAGTTCTACAGAGTGTTTTGGAGTGTGATACAGAAAGAGAAAACCTCTTACAGGAAGAGAAGAAACTTCTTGCACAGTCAAGGTAGGAAAGGCACAAAGTGTTTTAATTGTTTTATTTTCAGCTGTTTCAAAACTGTTTCATTGTTGCTTTTCTTTGCAGTGCTAAGTCTGACACATCTGATGGCACAAGTGGAAGATTAGCACAAGTAAGCACACCTCTATATGTGAATAGTATGTTGTCATATTTAGCACAAGTAAGCACACCTCTATATGTGTATAGTATGTTGTCATATTTACAGTGATTGTCATGTATAATTAGTTTTCTTTTTTTAACTTATGGTTCTAACAGTGGCAATTTGGGAGAGTTGTGGCCATAGTATTGCAATCACATTAATCTTGGATCAATGGAAAACTTAGAGATTGAAAGTAACTATGAACTTGAAGTGTGATGAATTTTCTTAGTGAAAGTTTAATTACACACAGCTTCATATCATGAATAACATATAATATGTACTTGTATCATAATTATATTTTTTTATTTTTCAATCAGGTTTATGCAAGGATGCAAGAAATAGAGGCTGACAAAGCTCCTGCAAGGTCACTATTTAAATTCTTGAACATAAGGCTAAACTGGGAAAGTGTTATATAACCTCATTTCTATATCTAGTTGTGACTTAACCTTTTGACCCGTAAGATGATTAGCATCTAATGTCTCCTCACAATACCACCCTTGAATCAAGCATTAAAGTCGCAAGAATATTGAAAATGGTCACCAGCTTCAGAGGCTCTTGATGTGGGAAAAATTCTCCTTTTCAACACCTTTGAAACAATATGGAAAATATGTATACTAATATCTACTGTGAATCCAAGTAACTCAACTTTAATATGAATTGACTACATTTTCAGAGCTTCATCGATACTGGCTGGATTGGGCTTTTCAACAAAAATGCAGAATCAGCAAACGAGGTACAAGGAAAACCTGTTTCTAGTAACTTTTTAAGCTTCAAGTACAAATGAATCCATGCAGGTTAAAAGTTTCTTAATAAGTGCCCCCACCCCCTCATTCATTTAAGCGCCATCATTCCAATAGGCACGCCTCGTTTTAACCGAAAAATTAAAATAATAAGCACTTGGGCACTTATTCAAGAAAATATGGTAAAAAGTTTTCATGTGTTTTAGAGAACTGTCTGGTGGCTGGAGAATGAGGCTTGCTCTTGCCAGAACACTTTTTAGCAGGTAAGAAAAGAAACTCGATTTTTATTGCGAACTTGCTCTCCAACTTCATTTTATGACAGTGACGTAATTCCCTTTAAGGTAGGGGCATTCATGCAAATTAATTGTAAAGTTAATCTGCACTTTTGTATTAGAGCTCTGTGCTCTAAGTTAAACTTGCAAAAATCATAATTATGTCGAAATTGTAAATGACTCCCGCCCAGTTTGACGCGTTGTTTCGTCGAGCAATATCCATTCCTGAACATTAAGTATAAATTTAAGTTTGTTAAATTAAGTGAAACAATCTTGTCGCGGCCTCCTTTGATATTTGTGCAATTTGTTTGCAGACCAGATCTGTTACTTCTTGACGGTAAGAATTTCAGTGTTTCATGAGTAAAGACTTTGATTTTTCCTATTGTCAAGTAATCCACTTGTTGCTGACAAAACGGCACTGTAGTTGTAATCCTCATAATCCCCTGAAACATCGTATAAGGAGCGTTTTAATTGTAGAGATTGTTCTATGTCTTGACAAATAAATCATGACAGTGAACAACGAGAGCAAAAACGCGTATCAGATGTGTGTAAATGCGCGTGTCGACATGCGTTTTTTGGCATGCGTTTTTTAGCACGCGTTTAGTGAAAAATAGTCCGTGCGTTTGGTATGTGCGTTAGGACCTTATCTTTGACCTATAGTGTGTCTGGTCCATAAAAATGTGCCAAACAACTCCTCACTTAACACTGTCGAAATGTCAGTCGCTATAACCAAGAACAGCTCCTGTTAGGGCTGCTGTCATCTATTCTTGTTTTTCACTACAGGTATCGCTGCTTGTTATGGAGGAAAAAAATTCACAATAGATAAGAAATACATGATAACTCTTTTTATTATCCAGCTGTGCTTCGTAAAGTACAAATAATGCGCGAGACGAGTACGAATATCACGCGATATTTGTACTCCAGAAATATCCTCGAAATTCGCCCGCACTGAAATAACAATTTGGCCTGTTGGATATTAAGATATCTATATAATTATAATCTTTTATGGCTTCCTATTTTTTTTTACTCTGTGTAGAACCTACGAATATGTTGGATCTGAAAGCTGTTCTATGGCTGGAAAAATATCTTCTGGTGAGTAGAAAACTCTTAATTCGTAACTTAAATGGGTGGAATTCTTTAGGGCATCTCTGTTTAGGGGCTATCTCCCGAATGTTTAGAAGGGAGTCTCTTATTTTTTCATCGTTTATCTTTATCTTTGGTCCCTAAATTTCACTGAGGGTGCTTATTTAGGGGACATCAGGGGAAATTTTTCAAAGTCTAACAAGTGTTCTTGGAGTGGATGTTCTGCGGTATAATACTATTACTAATACACAAATCCCAGGACTAAGATAACAAGTGACTGTATTTTATCGGCAGAACTGGCCATGCACTCTTCTCGTGGTATCACATGACCGTACCTTTCTTGACGCTGTCGTTACCGACATAATTCACATGCACTCCCAGAGACTTGAGTCATACAGAGGAAACTATGAGGTAAGCAACATGTTTCTCCATGTGCGGGTCTATGCTTTGGTTTGTTTGTTTGTTTGTTTGTTTTTTACGGAGTGACTGTATAATTGCCTTTTGACAGTTAAAAGATTATTTTGAGTGGCTCTACCTTCTCCGCCATTATCACTCAAGAGCAATGTGTGATTCAATAACAAAAAAATCCGTTCAGTGTGTCATGCATGCTAACTCATCATTTTCTTTGTTATTTTCTTAGAATTTTGTCAAGACCATGACTGAAAAACTCACCAATCAGCAGCGAGAATACGAAGCACAGCAAATGCACAGGCAGCATCTGCAGGTTGGTTAAAGAACTGCTTTACGTCGTTTTTGGCCTTATCAACCAGAGGGTAGAATGTATTTGAAGACCTTGAAAGATGATGAGACTTGTACAGTGTTCATTTTATTTTAATAATCGGGCTGCTGATGGGCCGCTTCAGGCATTCAGTTGATGGAGATGAGGTACAAAGAAGGGAGTGGCAGAAAATAGGTCTTTGTCGCTAAGACCTGTCTCCCGGTATCTTGTCACCAAGTGTGTCCTTCCCTAAAAACACCGCTGGTGATGATGTTGATTTTTTTTCTAGGCTTTTGTTGACAGATGGAGATACAACGCTAAAAGAGCATCTCTTGCACAGAGCAGACTTAAGGCTCTCGAGAAGCTGTAAGTCGAATTATCAACTTTTCTTAGTTTTTTATTATTTGTTAGTGTAAAGCGTTAAGCGACTACGAAATTGGCTTTTTCTCCCAGTAAAGCGTATGTTACTCTTGGCATTTCCTCGGGTTTCTCTGATAGTTCCCCTTTACACACCCCCTCCCTTGGTGGGGAGAGCCCCCTCCCTGGGTGGGGAGAGCCCCCTTCCCTGGGTGGGGAGAGCCATTGCGAGAGTCAAGAACACAGTTCGTTGACTCGACCATGCTTGTACCCAGACTTCTCGATTCGGAGTTCAGCGCACTAAGCAATACGCCATTTTTTCTCTCAGAGAAGCATCGTGGAACAGGTTTCATGTAAATTTCGAATATTGTAATTCGTTTAAGAAGTCATACCAAAGTAACTGTGGCTATTTATCTATGTCCTTTCAGACCTGATCTTCAGCCAGTTGTAGTCGATCCACCCGTGGTACTCAAGTAAGTGCTACAATCATTGTTAATTTTATATTATGCTAAGTATTTTTCTTTTTCTTTTACTGAACAAATGACCTGCAATCCCTGACTCATGGTTTCTACTTGATCGACAATTAAAACATTTCTGTATGAGAAATTATAGCAATCTTTTGTGTTTTGTGTTTTTTTGCTGTAGATTTCCCGAATGTGAAAAACTTTCTCCTCCCCTATTGCAACTGGATGAGGTATCGTTAGCTGTCTGTTGTCAATCAATACAATTTTTTTTTCCGTATAGATGTAGTGGCATGCCTTCTTCACCACAAATAAGGTTTATTTTGTGTTAGCGATACTTTAAAGTGCGCGCTGTGTTGCTATGTGTTTGTTTTATGTGAGAGGAAACCTGTAGTGCGACTGTATTGCGACTAGAAACTCTCATGTCGCACAGGAAATCATTGCAAGCGAAACAAATTTAGGTCTTGAACTGTCCGCACCAAGATTCAGACCTTCACCAGGATCAAACCGTTCCCCTTCATTTCGCCATGTTTGAGTGTCCACTCTTTATAAAACCAAATTCATTTTCTATGACATTTTACGGTAACGCTTTAAGGTTTCATTGTCTTATTAGAAGAGCAAGTGAGACTAACGTTCCTCTACAAATAAAGCATTCTCCGATTCCAGTGATCATTTAATCGTTTTTTTGTTATCGTTTCGTTATATGATAACTTTGAAGCTCAGTGACAAATTGCAGTTTCCTTTCCCTCAGGTGACTTACTACTACGAAAAAGGGAAAGTGGTTCTCAATAAAGTAAGCCTCTCTGCAAATCAAGAGTCGCGGATAGCTTTGGTAAGTTAACCCTTCTTAAATCACCTATATCACTTTGCTAAAGCATTTAACAAACTATTTACTACTTTCCACGGGAATCTCGTGCCGCTTGTTCCTCAAAACAAATTTCTGACCAACTAGTTACCATGGGATGAAGAACTCCGCTATGTTGACATGTACTTTTTTTAATTCCACTGCTACCTCCATTTTCATGTAGGTTGGTGAAAATGGACAAGGAAAAACGACGTTTTTGAAACTGTTACGAGGAGACCTGGAACCAGTGTCTGGACTCAAATTTGCTCATAGGTGAAGATGTGGTCTGATGTCACGTTCTTTTCATTTTTTTATAGTTTTCTGCGGCGGGAAAAATATCTTCAATGTTTGGAAAACACTAAAAAAATTAGTTCAATGCGAAAGATTAACAATGAATGGAAAGTAAGACATTAGAAAAGAAGGGGAATAATTGACGATGGAAATGGCTAAACACGTTCTGTTCATGAGAGTCTGAACAAGTTACTTAAGATCAATTTTTTAATGATAAACAAACGTGTTGTTTAAACTCGTGGAATAACTTGATTTCTATTTAGAACTAAGAGACTCTTTAAAGGATACAATGGCATGCTATTATGGAGGACTGACAAAGCATTTTGTAATAGGAGTCGCTAGAAATACGTATAGAAAGTTATAAACCTAGTTTTAGTCCCCTATGGTTTTAATGTTTCTCTGGGGCATTAAAAAACATTTAAATTTTGGAACAGATGCTGACTGTTGGGTACTTTGCATCATTTTCTGTTTCATAGGAATTTAAAGATTGGTTATTTCAGTCAACATCACGTTGATCAACTTGGTTCAGAACTTACTCCATTGGCTTTGCTTGCTTCTAAATTTCCAGGTACAGAACAAAGTATTAGTTAACCTGTACTTTTACTTGATGGTTTCGTCTGATCGTCCGAGTGACGGTTCTACTGAGAGTGACTGGTGTCAGTAATAGTGATTGACGTTTATAAATTGGCAGCTTGAGCGAAAGTCACCATCAGAGTCAAGTGAGGAGTTGTTGTCAGTTCAGTATTATAAGTCTTGCTTGTGTAAATTGATTGGTCAATTTTTCCGTGATGGTATTGACTGGAAGTCGGTCGTGATTGGTCAGTTTCGTCGCTATTGTTAGATCGTTCTGTTCGGTTCGTTTGTGGTGTAAATGTCATGAAACCGTTGAATGTATTTGATTACAATACAGGACAACACGAAGAAGAGTACCGCCGTCAGCTGGGTCGATATGGAGTCATTGGTGACTTGGCTCTCAGACCTGTGAAGAGTTTATCGGGTGGTCAGAAGAGTAGGGTAGTTATGGCACTTATGAGTATGATAAGGTATGGATATCGTTAGAAAATTTCGATGTCTTTAGGGCAGATATGTGGTGAAACATAATGTCAGACCTTTGCTCCTGTAATCTGTGGACAGAGTAGTAGAGTGAGAACTGCTCTCATGAGGATTACAAGGTTAGATTACTAGGAAAATATCTAGTTGTTTACCAGACTGATGTCGAGGGATAGGGAATATAGCACAGTTTTGATTGGGAATGAGTAAATACTTCCATTACTATTTCAAAACATCTCTACCAAGAACTTAGATTTGTGGTAATACTTTTGGGTGGTCAAGACAGTAGAATAGATGTTTCTAGAAAAATGAAATGTTCGGGTCGAAGGATATCAGTTATTTGTTGAATAGCTGTTCAGATAACTTTTAGAACCGAAGTATATTGGTTATAGTCCACCATTGTAACGCATGTCTCATGTTTTTTGTTCTTCCCCCGAACCTCAGGGAATTATGTTACGGTGGCCGATTCAAGGCTACGCTGCATAATGCTGTTACTTAAAACTGTGAAATGATACTCTCCTGAGTCTTCTGTTAAGTTTTTTCTTTTACTTTACAGACCTCACTTTCTTATTCTTGACGAACCCACGAACCATTTGGATGTCGAGACCATAGAAGCTCTTGGAGTTGCTCTGAACAATTACAAGGTACGGTCTCTTTTTGTCCCAAAGTCGAAGTCTGTTCATGAAATCGTTGTTGTCAAGCTTGCAACTTTATTCCGAACCTCTTTCGTGTTGGGATTCCTTTATTAGTGAAAGTCAGAAAAATTCCTTTCTGAAAACCTTAGTCATACTCCAATAAGCTATTGTACCATCAGCTTATTGCCAAAATTTGTCAAATTTACACACGCATTTTTACCTCTTTGCAGGGCGGTGTAATAATGGTTACCCATGACGAAAGACTAGTAAGAAGTGTATGTAAAGAAGTCTGGTTATGTTCCAATGGCTCTGTCATCAGACAAGATGGTGGATTCGACCAGTACCGAAAACTACTCGAAGATCAAATTCGAGATTTATGACCAAATGATTAGAAATGAAAATGGCAATTACCAATGACAGATAACTACTACGATGTTTCATCAATAACGGTGCTCGGGTGAATGTAGCTTTTCCTTCCCACACGCTCAACGTTTAAGACCAAGTTCTAAAATGCTAAATATAGGAAATTGCAGGCGCATCGCGGTAGTTATAGGCATACAGATTGGCCTTGGCATGAGAACCATGAAGGACAACGGTGAAGAAAAGCAAAGAAGTTAGCATAAACAGGAAAAAGAACTAATGGATAAGTGGCAAAGCGAAGCTTTCACTAAGGTGTACCTTCCATAGTAGTTGTAGAGGTAGTAGTAGTAGTAATAATAAAACTAATAATAACTATGATACTTAAAATAATAATATTAATCAAAGTAATAATGATAATAACAATGATAATAAATACACGAGCATAAAAATGTTCAATTCTAGAAGCCACTTAAAACACGATCCGTCTATGTGCTGTCTATGTTGTTGTACCTAATACCTTCGCAAATCTTCCATGCACACCCTCTGTTCTTGTCTCTGTAACAAATTTTGTATGATACGAGTTCTGTATCCTTAATAGATGTAGCGCTCAAATTGTACTGTTGGTAATTGAAGAATATAGTGAATTAGCCTGAGTCCAGAAGAATCAGCCGGGCAGCTTTTCTGTGCGACAGTCTAGAGCATACTTTTCCTTTTAACAGCTCACATGGAATTGTGTTTTGTTTGAGTGTTTGCCCTCGCCCCACCCCTCCCCCATCACTTTTCTGATGGCTCATTCCGAAATAGTAAAAATATGCAATTAGATGAGTATATCAAGGTATGGGAGATTTTAGATTTCAAATCACGAGATTTTAAAACTATCAGTAATGCACAGGCATATATTTAATCTTGCATAGGTAGTGAGCGGATTTCGACTTTGAAATTTGATGGTTATGTCAGAGAAAGAAGACATCGCAACCAAAAAAACTAGGTGTTGTGTGTTTGAAACCTTTTTCGGGGAATATTGAAACACTGTCGATCAGGTAATCCTTCAATTCAAATTCTAACCCCATTTATTATTCATGCTGTTTCAGATTTTCCTGAGGTTTAAAACCTACAAACTAATGATTAATTTTGTTATGAATCTAAAACGTTACCTCTTTATCAATGTACATTGTGTACTGCGTATTGTGAGCCATCTACACATACAAAATGCACAAAATTATGAAGACCACATAGGAATGGATACTCGACAGATCGCTCTTCCATTGGTTTACCAGTGCAGTAGCCCACACGAGTCTAAACAAATATTAGGAATGAACCTGTAATACTTGAATGATCTTACAAATCTTGCAGTGAATTAAAACGGTGGTAAACCGACAGAATGGGCGGTAGGCCCATCATGAAAAGTGAGGTCTCTGGACATGACTTTTAAAAATGCAGAAACATATTGAAAACCGCAATAAATAGGCATTGCAGTGGCAATTTTATATGGTATGCCATTACAACGGTACTTAAACAACTCTATCTTAACTTTTCCTTGAAGAAGAGGGTCACACATGACGCAGTTTTGGCCGTCAACCCTTTTCGTTAACTTACGCTTCATTCCCTAAATAAATTAATTTGTTCAAAACCATGTTATGAACCTTCTAACTAATCGACCAAGAAAACAAGGCACGGTACTCTCTTCTCCAAAGTTTCACGCCAGTGTACATCTGAATTAATGTCACCACAAGGGCACGACATGGTCAACGGTTATATAGCAACACCAAATTTGACCGACTAGCGCTATGTTCTTCCATGTGGAAGAGGTAATTATTACCGTGACTTGATAAACACCTCATCGCGCGTTCGCCTCGTTTTTCGAATTTCAAAGACAAGAATACACCTGAGAGAGAAACTATAGAATGGATCAAGGAGAATAACCGAGGAACGAGGACCAATAAGGCAGCGGCAAAAAAGCAGGGAACAAAAGGGGAAAAATACTGCCCCTTTCCCTTCTTTCATGACACTGTTAATCGCCCCGTTCCCCATTGAAGGGTCTGGTCCCGGGTAGAAGAAATTAACACATAATCACGCCTGTTGGCTATGTTCATTATTATTGTTATTATCAGCATGTTTTAGCGCTCTGTTAAACGTCCTTTCCCTATGGTGTAACCCTTGCTGACCCTGGATTGGTTTGACCCGTTGTGTGTCCTGCCCCTGTGGTTTTTGTTGTTGTTGTTGTTCGAATGATTCTATGTTGTCGCTCTCTTGATCTTCGTCGGCATCATCAGGATCTTTCTCTGTGTCTTGTTCAGTATTGGCATCCTCGTCATCATCATCAGCTAAAGAAATAGAAATCCTTTCAGACTGAATGATAACTCTAACAAACCTCTTCTGTGTTCATTATTACAGTGCTCACAAATAACACAATTTAAACTGTTTTAGAATTCATCGTGGTGGGTTAGTGGACAGTGTGACAAGTCCAGGCCCTAGTCCTGCCCGCGTCATGTGTTCTTGGGAAAAAAGACACACCCGTCACAGCGCCTCTGTTCACCAAGAGTATGCTAGGTACCGGGAAACTGTTCGGAAAACCTGACCCAATATTAGGGGTTTCTCCGCGAAGGACCGGTAGCTGGCAAGGAAGGGAGGGGTGACGAAGGGGCAACAACGTTCTTCATCCCTTAGTGTCAATTTATCCAGATGTGCGTCGACATTTCGACAAACTCACACTTAAATTTAATGAAAACAAAAGATAATAGCAATGCTCCTCTTAAGACTAACATTTTTTTCTTACAAAATAAAAACAGACCCTGTTTCGGAAACGTAATAGCCTAGCAACCCTTCAGAAAACAGCAATCATGTAGGAAACTCTTGAGGGTTACTTGGAAAATGTAGGTCTTGCATTCCAAAGCAACATTGACTCAAATTCTCAGACAAATTTTGTATCTAATCAAACTCTACCAATGAGAGGACACTTCGTGTCACAGCACCCCTAAAAAAGAAGTAAAACACGACTTTGTGTACGAACCATCAGACCGAACTCTATGCCCCTGAACTGTGTCTTGTCTCGGTAAATTGACTGGGATGGCAGTCAACTCAATGTGTGTTGGTGATTCTCTTGCTTCATAATGCTTGTTTCGTTGAAAAGAGAGTTCCCCAACCTGTTGTTGAATTTTTTGTACTTGTTGTACTAGTTCTTGTTGATCTTCCCGATCCTGATTTTGTTGATGCATTTTCTTTTTATTGAAGTCTTCTTGCATTCCAGCCACTTGTTCATTTATTTTTTTTCGTGACAATTCATTGTCCTGACCATCTCGTTCCTGGGCCTCTTCTTCATTCCGTTTGTTGCTCTGTTCCTCGCCATACTGGGCACGCGCTCTCCTTGCCTCGTCACCTTGGTGTCCCTGTTCGTTTTGTTCACCATCTTTGTCTCCCAGCTGAGCTACGCCTTTGCGTTCATTTGCCATCTCTCTCTCGCCAGGTTGTTTCTGAACATCATTTGGCTCATTCTTGTTCTGTTCTCGGAAGGTTTCTGCATCATCAACTGATCTCTTGTTTCTCTCTCCTACATTTACCTCCTCACCTTCTTCCTCTATGCCTTCTTCGTTGCCTTCTCTTCCTTCCTGATTGGCTCTCTGACTATCTCGCTCGGACTGTCGAGAGATTCAAAAGTCGTATTCAAATTCAACGTAAAAAAATAAAGGACATTAGCACAACAAGGTTACGACTTATAAGAAACGCGTTGTAAGCATATTTGCAGATGAAACAATTGTGCAAAAAAATATGCCCAAGAAATTAACATAAAACCATGAGAGTAAATTTTTAAAAATAACTTAACAGTCTTCGCTAAGTTTACTAAATCTTTTGGAAGTCTGAAATTGAAATTTTCGAGATTTTCCTTGACTACGTCACAAGCCAAATATATTCCCCGGATCTTCTTCAAAATTCCCTGGCTTTTGAACACTAGAAGGGTATCTCTAACGGCATAAGAATCGTTTGAAATATTTCAAGAAATAAAATTTTAAGTTAAAGCCTGAAAATTATGTGTGTATTTCCATTCGTTAGCACTTACCTTTATAATACTATCCCATCTATTCACTGATTTATCTGTAGCAGAGACAAAATCGACACCACGTTTTTTATTTTCGTCCCCTGTGTCTTCGTCACTGTCTCTCAAAGGAACATCATTGCGGACCTGGTCACTCTCACTAGGGGAGTCTTCAGTTCTTCTGCTGTCTTCCCTTCTTAACTGAATATTGTCCTGTTCTTGATTCTCATCGGTGGGTCTCCTTCGTTCTTCCTCGTCAGAATCTTTAAAAACATGAAAACCGAGCTTAACGTTTACACTCTTTGTACAATTCAGCATACCGATATAACCTCAAATGGAAGCACGCAACAAGCCAAGCTCAAATAGGAAGAAAAGATAAACATTATGAGTCCATACACTTTAAGTGAATTATTCCAACAGAGAACAGTGCATTTCCTACAAACTACAATTTATCTCTCAGAAAAGTGATTAATCTTTTTGCTACTGTCATTACTGAAATGTGTGGCTGGTATGGAAGTCTCACGACGATGGCGATCCATGACTGTGCGTTCCTCAGTCTGTCTGCTCTCCATTCCAGGGGAACCTGTTTGACTTCAACAATAGAAAATAGTGTTAGCAAGTGAAAAATGGTTCTCTGATAAAAATCACCATCAGTTCTATAGATACGAAAAATGTCTTCTTTACGCTATCAAGTCGTTAGGGTAATACATCAATTATTTTTCCACTTATCTACTTTAAGATTCAGTGATTCTCATTGATGGCATTATACAAGAGTGAAATTGCGCCACATACTTGGCTTTTTCCACACCCATTTTTTCTTGGTCTCCCTGGGTTAATACTCCTGACTTAAAAGAGTTACGTAAATCGCCACCTACAAAATGCCAAGAAAAAAAACTTCAGCATCACCAGCTTACCTTTAAAACCCTGTTAGTAAGGTTCCTAAAATTTCGAGCTTTTCTTAAACAACTGCTTTCTTCACTATGTTACTTTCTACTGTCGACATAACAGGCAAAACTTTTTCTCAGCCTTTTTCTCAAGGGGGGGGGAGTGGTGCAATAATTGGAGAGGAAAGGGAGGTACATCTATCAATATGGAAAGTGGGGAAAGCTTATTATCAAGAAGAAGTAAGATTACTCATGTTTTAAAAGTAGAGATTTAGAGTAAAATGCAATAATGTGGTAGAGATACTAATCGTCTTACCTTGCTTAATCGTACCTGGTGTTTTATCGTTTTTAAGTTTGTCCTCACCAACGGTTTTATAACTTCTTTGCTGAGCTTTTTCAAGTCTTTCCTATGATTTCAGAGATCCAAAAAAACGTAATACCTCAACATCCATTCTATAATCACCAGCAGTCCACTCAATATGAAAAAACAATACTAACAACTCAAGCTATTACAGTAGGTGTGTTTAGACTAGCTGTTTCACATTTGGGTTAAGTGGCAAGAATAGTTCTAACTATAGTTTGGTGATGAGCTTTAGTCCCAAGATGTTTTACGAGAATTTTCAGAGAAGGCTCATTTAGAGCTAAAATTTTGGTTGTGAAGGATTCAGATCCATAATTTATCAAGACATAAGCTGGGTAATCCAGTTTATCAAGACATAAGCTGGGTAAACCAGTTTCATTGCTGTTGAGAAGAAGAATGTCTGTACTTGTTTAAGCTGCTTTCTTGAAGGAAACTAACCTTGTAGGATGCAAGTTCTTCTTCCAGAGTGCTAATTGTTTCCTGGTATTGCTTACTTCTTTTCAATTCTTGAGAGCTGGACAACTACAAGAAATAGACAATAGAAAGATTAACCAGCTGGTAATACACTGCTAATTTTCATTATTTGACCCATCAGATTCAGATACACATTTTTTTCTGGTTTCCAACTAATGAAAGGGATAATCCTTTTAAATAATTTCCATAGCTTAAGGACCAACAAGCAATGAGCCATATAATTTATTTAGAAATAATTATTATTGAATATGCATCATTTCTTAATCAGTTAATTTTGTGAAACCTACATGACTGTAGGACTGTTACAAACTTGACATTATCTGTATTCATTTCCCAACTTGCTCTTGGTCCATTATATTTTATTAAATCATTCTAACAAAGAAAAATGAGCAAACCTTGTGACGGTCAAGTTCCTCTCCTCTTGTCTTAAGATGCGTTCTTAATGCCACAACCTGTTTCTTCAGTGTTTTGATTTCCTCTACATGTCACAAAACATAATCATAGTGACCTTTTGGTCCTACATTTACATGTAAGGTAAAGTCTGTTTACAAGCCTAGTGGCCCATTAGGCCAGTGCTTAACTCCGGTTTCTGTAGCAAGAAGCGACTAGGAGTATTTCTACTCCCCCCTGGATGGGATGCCAGTCCATCCCAGTTACCCCCAGCATTAACTTTCCGGTACCCATTTAAACACCTGGGTGGAGAGAGGCACTGTGAGAGTAAAGTGTCTTACCTAAGAGCACAACACAATGTCCCGGCTGAGGCTCGAACCCGGACCACTCGATCCGGAGTCGAGCACACTAACCATGAGGCCACTGCGCCTCCACATTTACATGTACATCTTGTAATTATCCTTTTTTTTCTTACAATAGCTTTGCTTAAGCTAACCAGTCAATTTACTCATATCTCATTTTAATCCAAAGGCCACTTTGCTGTAGACTTTGTCACAAATGATATAAATACCTACAATACCATAAATGAACAAAGAGATGTTTTTAATAATTGAGATATGTGCAAAGTTAATCTTTTTGCAGCATTGATTATAAGCAAATTCATATGCCAACAGGGGCCACCATAAAAAATCAAAGCTGGGTGACTGGTGTGTTATTAGAAATAGAGCTGCACCTGATGGATCTCCAGCCCAGCACATTAAAAAAAAAACCAGCAAAACAGGCCCAGTGAGAGAACAAGCAACATTACCATCAAGTGATGCTATCTCATTTGCCTTCTGTTCTTTGAAAATCTGAAAGTTCCTCTTTTGTTGGTTATTGAGAGTGCTGTGCTCTGAACTGAGACGAAAGTACTGTTGTTGGAGACGATTATATTCTGTATCAAGCTCCTTATTCTGGGCCTGAAAATTTATCATAAATTTCATATAAAAGAATTTACAGTAAGTTATTAAGTATAAGAAATCAGTGCAGAAAGCTTAATACATTGATCACAATTAAAATGCAGAGAAACATCTGACTCCAGGAGCAAAAATAATGCATGCTTGAAAATTATCTGATGTTGTGTTGTTTTCCTTTGTCTCGTGATTAATTTTATAAAAAAATTCACTACCAATGTGGAATGCAATGTTTGAACCTCATACTGCAGCAGAGTCTTTGGTTGACTGATCATGTATCTCCTACTGGAGCATTATATTCTGCTGTCATTGGTTGATTCACAACAGCTCTGATGAGCACAATTGACTGATGTGTTCCTGAAGGATTTCTCCCAGAAACATAGACCCCAGGATATCAGGAAACACAACACCGGTAGAGCCATATGACAGCCTCAGATAGCTGAGGGAACACATGGTTGAAATATGCCAACTATGCTGTGCAAACCAACTAATTACAGTGGAGCATAATGTTTACCAGACAAACTAATATGAAAGTCAACCTTGATTACATGTAGCTAATCACCTTAAGATCACTAGCATGTACAGTCTAAACACTGCAGTGACTAAATCTTGACACATTACCGATAACACTCTATTACTACATTGTACTTCATGTTTACAATAGAATGACTGATCACAATCCAAACACTGTAAAGTTACTGTATCTTTTACCAACCTTCAGCATGTTGTATGAAGTCTCTAAAGAATTGAACCTGTTTCTGTTTTCATGCTGCAATCCAACAATAGTATCAACAAAGTCTTTTGTTTCACAAAGATACTGGCTAAAATTAAAATTTTCAAATTCAGTAACAATTCATTTAAATCACCTTGGATCTGGTTACGTTCAAAATAAACTCCTTTTGCTTTTTAGAAAACTCTGCAAATGGAAAATCAAATGGTACTATTAAACTTTTCAAGAAAGAATATGCATAGAAATAAGCAAACAAAGTAGAGAAAGACACTTTATCTCTCATACTGAGAAACACTATTCATCATCATGATTAATAATTTATGACCCAAACCTAGCTTGGAATTCTTGTGATCAGCCTTTTCTTTTTGTAGTGATCTTTCCAGCCGAGCTCGATGTTCATAAACAACTACAACAAATAAAAGGTTGTAAATGATATGCAACGAAATGTGCGTTATGCTATTACTATGCAATCTAGTGGGAAATCATCTTATTTTTTTCAGATTATTATCATCACCATTTTGTGAACAGAATTTTGCCTCTTTCTTCATTTTTACTTATACTGAAAATAGGTAATAAAAATTGACAGAAGTATTCACTTAGCTAAACAGAGGATATCACATGGCTGCGCATGGATACAAATTTTCTCCTCAAGTTACCATGACAACATGTTTACCTTTGCCTTGAAAAATATACTTGGTAAACTCCAGCATGCAGTGAATATATCATGTTCTTGAAACACTAGGAATTTTGATATTTACAGGGCTTGACACCAACTTTTCAACTTACTAGCCAAGTGACTAGTGACAAGTTAGATGTTACAGCAATTTCAGTTAGTTTAATAGCCAAACTGGCTGGTGGAAATCAAAAAACATTCGCCAAAACTCAGTCTCTACTAGTCTGTGGTTAAGGTGGCTACCATTAGTGTCAAGCCCTGATTTAATCAATAATTATCTTTAAAATGGAGGACACTAAAAAAAACAACAAATTCTCTTCACTGAGTTTCGAGGAGTTGTTAAGCAGCTAGAAGGAAGCAGCTGGAAGGAAGAATCCCTAATCACTGATCTTAAAGTGCCCCTGAGACAAAAATTGACCATTTTATTTCGGCCTAAATTACTTACACAATGTTGAATTGGGTCAAGTAAAGACCCTTTTTGCCATTAAAAACTCAAAACAAACCTTCAATGACCAATTTTTACTGCTTCAAAGTCATCCAAAAATCGTCCGCCATTGCTGAAAACATGTTCCAGCTGAGCCCGCAAAAACGTCATCATGACGTCAAAGGCTCAACAAACTTATGCCATATGCCAAAACCATTTCTAAGCCATCAATGTGTTTTCCCTGATGCATTTGGTCAATGATCTCATTAACCTTTTCCTATGTGTTTTTTACTATTGGTGCTTTGAGATGTTTGAAGTGAACTCTGTTGTTAAGTTGCACTTTAGCTTCTTTTGTTTTTTCTATCTTATTCATGATGACTATTGTTGTGTTGATTCGGTGAGGTTTAAAGCAGAGTTTGTTTCAACTCTTTTAGAGCTGTGACCTCATTGCGTTACAAAGTATTTTTTGGCTTAGATACAGTCTGCAAGTAGCATTATGACAATTTTCCAAGTAGCTCTGAAGGGCGATAGAAGACTGAACCGGTGGCATTCAGTTTGATATGAAACAGAAGTGGTTCTTTGTTTTGTCTGTGAAAGGTGTAACGGAGGTGCATTCATCTGGCGAATAAATCTCGCAAAAGTTGGCCTGATTTTAAATTCGTTTGTCATGGGCACTGGGATGAATTTGAGACCCTTTGATAGCTGACTTAGCTGTTAGATGGTTGATAGTTTGACAGGTGTTCAAAGAAATTTTCATTTTCTCAGTTTTTTGGCTGCAACCCTTCATTTTAAAGTGTTTTTACACTCTGTGTCTTAAGCTGTTTGTTCTGCTTTTGCTGATATTAAGGCCAGCTTTTTTTTAGAATCAGAGCACACAATTATACTTTTCATCTCTTTTGTATGAAAGTGAGCTCTTTGAGGTCAGAAATCTCAATCCTCAATTCGGCTATTTTATCATTCTCATTTACAATGTTCACCAAGTACTTTCCTTTACGTAAAGTATTCTGCCAGAGAGTTGTTAAAGGTGGATATTGATGAGCTCATATGTAAAGGTGAAAAAATCCGTAGAGATTGCACTGAGGACGATTTTCCTTGTTCCTTCTCTTCTTGAACGGTAGGCGCTGAACCCGACAGAATTCCTCAGCTAGATCCTTCAAAGTACACAGATCTCTCGAAAAAGTCCTCCAAGAAGTGTTTGGAGTAGATCACAAATATTTCTGTAGGCTTGAAGTTTACTCGGCAAGGTCGCACAAAGTGCATCCGTTTTTCCCGCTCTGATCTATTTGCAAGGCTTCGATGCAGAGAAATACCTGCAGCATGGTCTGCACGATTACTTCAGCTTTGAATTTTGCATCGATGCCCAGTCATTTCTGTTTAGTTTTTGTAAGAATGAAGTAAAGCACTCTATCATGTTTGCTTGACATTTTGCCATGTGAGATTTTCGCGTTGAGCCTTTGACGTCACTTCCCTTGAGTCCTGTGATCAACTTCCAGAACATGATCAAATAATGACGAACACGAAATCATGAATTTAACGGCCCGAAAAAAGATATTTCTGGTGCTCGGTCAAAACTGAAATTTGGCAGAGTATGTGAAGGAGACACATTGAACACGAAAATGGAAAAAAAATGATGTACAAAAATTTTGATCTCAGGAGCACTTTAAGAGCCAAAGGGTTAACTCTGTGACCACAAGATGCTCAACAAATGGTTCACACATTTAATGCTTTATTATTTCAATCATTAAATGCACTTTTTGATCCACAGAGTAGCTTTCCACATGGCAAAGATGAACTGAATCATATTCAAGCTAGATGTGTTACTAAAGATAGAGGAATATTGACTTTTAATTAAAATTATCAGACTAAGACCGATAAGTTGGCACATGAAGCAGAAAGGGTGGGACTGAAAGTCAGTGTAGGCAAATGTAAATTAATGCAAATAAATTCAAGGAGCAACAATGTGGTGGAGGTGTATGGACGAGGAATAGAAGATATTGATAGATTTGTGTATTTGGGAGCTACAGTTTCCAAAGAGGGTGGAGGCACTGAAGAAATCCACAACAGAGTAGCCAAAGCGAGAGGGGTATTCGTAAGATTGACAAAGATATAGAGTAGTAACAGCATTAGTCCACGAACCAAAATCAGGCTGTATAAGACACTAGCAAAGCCAGTCCTAATGTATGGCTGTGAGGCATGGAAAATGAACAAAAGTGATGAGAACAAAATCGATGTCTTCCAAAGCAGATGTCTCAGACAGATAATTAAGATACACTGGCAGCAAAGAATTACAAACAAACAAGTCCTGAAGATGGCTGGGATGGAAAACCTAAGTGAGGATGTGCGAAGGAGACGATGGAAATTTATCGGCCACATCATGAGGAAAGAACCAAATAATGACTGCAGAACTGCATTAACCTGGACCCCAGAAGGGCGGCGAAAACAGGGCAGACCAAAGACAACATGGAGGAAGACAGCAGAGAGAAAAAGGAAAAAAACTGGATGGAAGAACTGGAGTGAGGTACAAATCGCAGCAGCTGACAGAGCTGGTTGGCGGGATTGTGTTGAGGCTTTACGGGCCACATGGCATGAAGAAGATAGGTGAAGGTGAATTAAAATTATTTCTAATACAAATATGACAATAAGCATTCACTTAGATGTCACTAACTCACAATACGTTAAATGCTGGTGTTCTACTATAACAGCAACAGGTCCATCATAATAAATTAGCATAAACTGAAAAAAGAAAAACTTAACAAAAAGTATGGAAATCTAATTCAATGAAACACACAGGTGAGCTTGCTCTCCATTTCTACCAGCCGTACACAGAAACATCCCAAATTCTGCATTAATCAAAAAATTAACAAAGATATCTACTTTAAACCAATAGGTGTAAGATCGGCCTTTGCATTGTGTCGTACTGAGTATGTCCTTCACGAGGATGATAACAATATCACTAACACCTAAAAAACAACATTACAAAAATACAGATCTCTATTTTGCTATCAAATACCTTGAAGCTGGGATGAGAACGACTCCTGTTTCTGGAGATACCTATTCGCTTCTGATTTCGAGATCTCTAAGTCTACGGAAACAGTGTTGTACAAGTAGCTTGTGTACCCAAGGCCACCTAGAAGAGCTAAAAATACAGCTCCTTGAAAAATTGGTTTGTTTCTCCTGTTACACATCTCGTAACGATCGACGGTTAGCAAGCAGTCTGAATTAGATGGGACTTCAAATAGTCTCTCGCCTCCATTGATCCGTGCAGAAAATGTTCAAAACATTTCCAACTTGAATGCCACTCACTGGGTTTACATCGAGTTAGAACGTATGCGACGTGGAGAACACAAATATGGCCACCAGCCTCTCTTTCAGGAGTCCGAGCCCGCCGTGCAGAACAGCGGATTTTCAGGAATGACCCGCGACAACCGCGGCGCGCGACCATGGCAAAGGGTTTAAACGTGACACGTGATTAATACCAAAGCGAACTATCGCGAGACGTGATTTGCCTCCTGAAATACACGTGACTCTTGAATAGTTTCTAACATTTCCGAAAAACTTGAAGATTATAATTTCTTTTTAATTCGTGACGCTTGAAATGCTGTGGTATACGTCACGCGAGAATTTTTCGAATTCGTTCATAAAACCCGGTTTTATGAACCCCCCCCCCCCAACAATTTTTTCCCTAAGGCTGTCTGTTCTCCTTCGTGACGCAAGTTCTGTTCGTTCGAAGGTTCCCTATAAACCTATCTTGATTCAAACGTTATTGAAATCCTTCCATTTTTACTCAAACCTTAAAAGATGATTATTTGATTGGTTCTTAGTATTGGAGGACAGACTTATGTGCGGAACAGGTTGTCGAAACGTCAGTCACCACCACCGACAACAGTCCTTCTCAGGACTACACTCACCCGGACGATCACACTACACTTTCACATGTTACCCCCGGATTCAATCCCTTCACTGGAAAACTATATTGACTGCATGTGTTTTCTTTTTCAAAGACATTTCCCAAAATTTGTTATATTAATTGGAACTATGGGGTAATAGCGAATACGTTCACTGCCTATGTTTTCACGATGGATTTCTTTTCCTTTTAGCCGTAATTAAAGAAGAAAACTGTGGCGCCTAATTTTACAATTTTACAATAAGTTTTACCAATCTCTAGCTTCGAGTATGTAGTTTATAGGATAGCTTCCTTTCATGATCCCTTCATTATTTAACAAAACCACAAACTCAGGTTTTGATGAGTAGACAAACAAAGGGGATGTCAATCTCATTTGAGAGAATCGATATTGAGACAGGTTGACTATGGAGCACTCTGTCTTCTTTTTATATCCTCAACCTACATCATGAGTTATAAGCTTTAACTCAACTGGAAAAAAAGCTGTCAAGATGGAGAGAAGAGAGAATGCCGATTTTTGAAAACTTGTAACGTTAGCCAAAGAAAACTTATTTTGATTTGTATTTTCAGTATGTAATTAGTTTTAAAGATTATTGTTTGCCAGTGTTTGCAATGTCTCCAGAGAAATGAGCAGACTGAACAATGAAGAACCTGTGTGAGATTCAATTCTTTTGTTCTTTCTCGTTAAGATGTTATATTCATTATATTAACTCCTCCCAAGTATTGAAATAGAATGAAGAAGGAGGCGTAGGTGCTAATTACAAATAATCACCTTATGGCAGAAACGCAACATTAAAGAATCATTTTTAAGGGACACATTGATCGGTGTACGTGGATTTTATTTATATTACCACTTTTCTTGGAATCCTTGGGGGAAAATTTAGTCCAGCGAAATTTGAGTCTCATATGAAACTGACTCATTTTAAATTCACTGCAACATACCGTGTTGAGCACTTTGTTTACCTAGGCATTTATCGTTCTCCAGATATAACTGTGTAATTAATGAATTACGTAAAACAGGCGTGTTTCAAGCCAATATCACAATTTGTTCACTCGTGCTATTAACATTTGTTTCTAAGTGTGGTGCTTAAGAAGTCGCACAACGTCAGTCTATGCGGCCTTTCACCAACCCACAGTTACAGTACATTCTCGACAGTAAATATGACATCTCAGAATCTTTATCTTCCAAGTGTCTCCACTCTTCCAGCGTTCACTCACTCGTTTTATCATTACGGATACTTCAACCCAGACATGTCCACCTCTCTTTACGGAAATGGCTCCAGTACATGGTCAAGTTATGAGAGTCCATATAACCACCAAAGATTTCAAGGCATCCCCTACCAACCCGCAGATGAAGAAAAACCAACTCAGTCATATATTGGTCTGATTGGAAAAGCAATTTTAAGCTCCCCTCAGCAGAAACTTGTTCTTGGTGATATCTACAACCACATTCTAACAAATTACCCTTACTTCAGGAATAGAGGAACTGGATGGCGTAACTCCATACGCCACAACTTATCGTTCAATGATTGCTTTGTTAAACTGGGTCGGTCTCTAAACGGCAATGGACACTTCTGGGCAATCAATCCTCTAAACTATGAGGACTTCAGTCGGGGAGAGTACAAACGTAAAAGAGCCACAAGAAGAAACCGAGAGAGAAACGAGACTGAGATAAGGACAATAGAAATTTTGAGAAAATGTCCAGCTTCTCTAAGGAAGGCTAAAAGTTCTACACAAAATAGAGGTTTTCACATCGACACACTTCTATCCAAGTAATGGGAAGAGAAAGGAAGCGATGAGAATATGCCAACATTTGCTGTTGTCGCCAGCTAATTGGACTGACCTTTTTTAGGAATATTTATTCAATTTAAAAACTGAAAACATTGCGTTATCAAAGAAGAAAACAGAAAAGAGAACTGAATGTTTATCGCAAACCACCTGCATGGTACATATGAAATATGAATAAACTAAAACTTGAGCAACAAGCCACAGATACTGCTTGGTAATCATTTTTCCATGCGGTAACTGTAACAGTTATAAAAAGCTGTTTGATAACAGTAGAAAGTGCGGAATGATGATGTTTGTTTCGCAGTTCTAAGGGCTGTCAAAAAAACTGAGAAGATTGGGCTGGAAGCGTGAGAAAAAATCCGTGTTTTTTTTCTATATTGGTGCGTCGTTGTATTCTAAGTCAGCCGGTGATTAAACACATTGAGAAAAAGCAATAAAAATTCGGTGCTAACGACTTTTACTACCATCCTATGTATTTAAATGCAAATACATATTTCACTTAACAATAATGCAAACAGATAGGCAAACTTGGCATCGTAAATGACTCATAAATCTTAATCAACATTCCTTTAATCAAGAAACGATGAAATTTGTGGCTTAAGTGAACTTGACAGCATAATTATGTTGGTTGTCGTGAAATCTTGGGAATGCGTTTATTTGAGAACAAATGAAAAGAAGTGACTCTTTTTTACCTCCAGAATATTAAACGATACGCTCAATTTTTTATGTTTGGCGAAAAACAAATAAGAGTGATTAAAAAACGTTTTAATGAGCTGCCTGAGATCCCTGCCTGATAGAAGCCTGAGACGTGAATATGATTGCACGATTCTTTTTTCAATGAGATTAATAATTGCTTCCATGTAGATCCTGCCAAATATCAAGTTTCACCAATATAACTGGTCTTTGATTATGTGTTTACAGCCAGAAATAGTTTACTGAACTGGTAACGAATGCGCCCGGCATCGAACGAGGTTACTCCATAAGGTACAGGCAGGAGGAACTGAAAAACGAGGAAATTCAAATTTTCGCCGCGAGACGGAAGAAAGGAAAAGAAAGATGAGGAAATTGCGTATTAAGGTTGCATTTGTAAGCATTTCATTTATTGACATTCAGCAAGAAGTAAATGCCATATAAAATAGCTTTGTTGCTCTAAGCTTGGTTTGTTTGAAAAACAACATTGACAGTTTGGCGCTGAAGGAGGATGTTTATAAAGATGACTAATTAGGTGGATTGTAAATTAAGATTTTTTATTGTTACTCAAAAGTCGTTTACACAGAAATTTCCGCTAATTCTAATTGCTATGTTCTTAGCAATATTGCTCAGTTATGACTGTTTTCTCGCTTCCTCTCGCTCTAACCTTAGACTGTTGTTGTATTTTGGTTTCTATGAATTTCAGTTGCTAAATCCATGTTCATATCTACAAAAAAAAAAACATATATATATATACAGTAAATGCTTTAAACCTAGGCTGGGGTAACAATTATCCTAGTATTCTGATCGCCTGGGTGAGAAAAGCCTTCAATAAACCTGCATCGTCTGACGCTTAGCCTGATTGAAGGTCATCATTGGAGTCAAACTGGACCAGTTGTCGTCAGTCGACTGTAGTAAGTCTCATAGCACTTAAATGAAACCATTCGACTGGGAAACAACCACCTCAATTGACTCCTATAATAACTTCCGCTTAGGTTGCCGAAACATTAGTTACTGTATTCAACAAAAGTTTTCTTCGAAATTACTCTAATCCAGACTATTATATTCGACAATCAACAGATAAACTGACATTTTGTACATTTTTCTTACTCTGAATCAACTACTTCTAATTGATTGTGTGGAAGCAAACCTGGAAAATCTTTATACCCAATCGTTCTATAAATTGTTTTACCAAATTGTCTTCATAGCCAAGCTAAAGTGTTTAACTCCATCACCAATCAGAACATAGTGCCCAGAACCACCATAAACACCTTCGAACAGTGTGCACATTTACGCATAATATATTAAATCCATAAATCAGTTTTATGTTTTTTAACACTTCAAGTTTTCATTCAGTCGGATAAAATGTTTTTGATGTGAAAACTTCTTTGGCGCAATCCCCTTTCATTGTCCATAAAACTGTTGTCGCACTGACGAGCTTTCTCTATGGTACGCTGAGGAACAACATCTTCACAAGATTTCCAACCTTGGCCTTTTTCTAACGTTGATATCTGTAATTTTTTTTCCTGTGAAATACTCCTTCGATTTCTTTTGGAAGATCCTTTCCGTCTATACCCTAAGTCTCCCCGACTGAAGTCCTCATAGTTAAGAGGATTGATTGCCCAGAAGTGTCCTTTGCCGTTTGGAGAGCGACCTAGTTTAACAAAACAATCATTGAGCGATAAGTTGTGGCGTATGGAGTTACGCCATCCAGGTCTTCTATTCTTGAAGTAAGGGTGATATGTAAGAATGTAGTTGTAGATATCACCAAGAACAAGTTTCTGCTGTGGAGAGCTAAGAATTGCTTTTCCAATAAGACTGATGTACGACTCAGCTGGTTTTTGTTCATTCTTGCTTTGGGTCGGAATACCATGAAAGCTTTGATGGAAACATGGAGTAACAGAACCTGGAAGACGAAACGAAATCTCCGTGTTGGTGTATCCCAAATAACAAAACGAGTATGGAAAAGCTGGAAAAGTGGTTGCAGCTGGATGGTAAAACCTTGGAGACGTCATATTTAGAGGCCGCCAGAAACTAGTTTCCATTGGGTCAAACGTTTTGGCCACTGGTTTAACTGTCAGTTATGAGAATGTCAGTCAATTCACTTTCAGTTCGGCTGTTGCCCAAATGAAATTCAACTTTGCGCAGATGAATAAGTTTTTATATTGGCTTAGGAAACGCTTGTCGTAATTAATCAACAATGTTATTGTTTTGTACAATAGAACTGCTTCTAATCGTCATTGCTCAATGTCAAATCAAATCAACTCAGAACTGAAATATCATAATCAATATAATCATGAAATTCTATTTTTGTGCATTTCTTAGGAGATCCTTCAGCATATCTTTCTTGAGAACATGCACCTACTTCATCCTTGAAATTTTTGACTCCCTTGAATTTTTTTTCATTGCTCTAAGCTTATTATTTACAATTAACGCCCCACGCCTTGTGTTTGGCTTTCCTTTCAGACTTGTTTGAAAAACAAATACAATGTAGCTTTTCTTTGAAGGAGCGTTCCATTCATTTTTACGTTAATAGTCCCCGAGAGAGTATTTCGATCTATAGAAGACAGGTAAAAGCAAAGTTTAGCTGATGAAAAATAACATTACAGGACGCTGCTAGTAATATAGTGGGAATGAACAAAAACAAGCGTGCTAAAATTGAAATAACTAATATAAATGTAAACAAATCTTTCGATCATTTTTCTTTATATCAGGGTATTTATTTACAGTATTGTTTGTCTAATGTTCTAATTTGAGTGTTATTGTTCGCTAATGGAAGGGTCTACTTCAGGGGCGGGACCATTTGTCTTCCTAACAAACCAAAACACGATTTGTTTGGTCAGATTTTAAAATGATTGCAGACAGGGAATTTATTAATGATCAACAAATACTATGAAAATTGCTTGTATCTCTGGCCTACCATAGATGCTAAAGAAAAATCACTTGAACAACCAAAACTCATTGTTCTTTTGATCTTCATATCCTATATATGGCTAAATCTGCTTTCGCCAAAGAACATCGAATCAAAATCTTAGATTTTTTTGTCAGTTACGTTGCTTCTTTAGACAAACACTTCTCGGAGTCTACTTGACTAAGAGCAAATTCACTGCGCACAACTGAGTAAAGAAATATTAAATGTCACCCCTTGTTTTCATTTAAAAAGATGATCAACTACGTGGCTTTCAAGCACGTTTTTATTTGCTTTATATCAAGCGGCTGCTCAGAAATTTTCTTGTCAACAGTCAAATGCCCGTGGTAACACCTGTTTGACACTGACATGATTAATGTATTTGATGTTCACATTTGCAGCCATCTTCGATATGAGAATAAAAACTAATGTCTCCCCTACTTCAAAAGTATGTGCAGACTTCATACTGATCTGCGGGTTGAAGGAACACTTAAAAACTTCTGCAGAGTAACTTTGAGGGTCCAGTACATAGAGAAAGACACAACTTGGGACCTCGGCTATCCGACAGGTTATTGATATTACTTGTCTGATTACACTGTAGAGAAAGTTGTCACACAAGTGGGTTTTCCAGTGTCGTAAAAATCGCATTTGAAATGTTGGAGTCAAGATTCTTCAAAAAGCTTCAATGTTACTACGTAACATAACACTACCTTGTTGGGTTCACTGATTGCCTTAATTACGCCTTTGATTCTTAAATCCGGTCTACTTAGCGCCATCTTAGTTAGGACAAGCTTTCTTCATTGTCACTATGATTTACTTCCTCAATGTACATATATTCTCCATATGAAGTGTCAATCTTGTTAGAAACATTATAAAGCGCATGTACGTCTGCCCAACTGAACCAAATTTTTCCTCCTTTAATTTCTTTTTAAAGGAACCCTTAAACGTTAAACTCGACACAAGCGATGATTCTATCCCTGTTCGCTTAAAACAGGTTTCAGTGTTGCTAATCAGCGACTTGCAGCAATCTCAACTACAAATCTGCAGTTTTAGCTGTTTTTACAAAATTTTTATTTTTTCTCCTGCAAACCAGTAAATTCTCTTTTGTAAATGTGAACTGGTTTCCACAAATTATCCAAAAATGAATATCGCAAGTCTAGAACAGCTAGACAGGAGCGAGGAATTGAGGGCAATGTAAATTTGAAACTATAGTCCCATTGCGTGATAGCAATGATTTCTTTGGGTCTTATCGTTACTTTCTACTTGAATTTGGACATTTGAAGGTGCTATTTGAAACTGCTGGCATCAATGGAAAACTCAGCAAGAAAGTGATACTTGTTCTTCTTGATTAATCCCATTGCAAAAGTTGTAGAACAGATTCGCTCACGGGCCACAACGACTTTAAATTGTTCTGATTTGACTTTTACAAGACTAGAAAATGGCTGTCACCCACATAATTTCAAATATTTCCATAATTAAAAATGTTCCCAAACCTCGACACGAAAGTCAGTTAAACCAATTTCATAACACTGATTTCAAATATTGTTTCCTTTTGTTAAAAGTTCAGCATTCAGAACCATGCGTTTTAACGCTTCGTTTGTTTCTTACGCCCTGTTCCCTACAAAAGACGGTGTTGCCATTTATCAGTGAAGAGGCCACACACAACACGTTACTTATTTGTTTTATTGTTTCTTGAACCGTAAATTTACATGTTAAAGGAATGGGGTGGAGACAAAATCCTTGAGAACTGCATTGTTCAAAGGTTTTCTTATGGTTTTCCATCATAGCATAATGAATAGATAAATGTTTGCTTACGTCTCAACACGCCTACCTATTTTTTATTTTTACAATAATCTACCAGTGCGCTTTCTTGCTATGAAAAATAAATTAAATTCGTGCCTTTTTGGTTTGTAACCCTTTTGCGTTACTCTGCTATATACATATCTCTTGATAGTCGGCCATCTCGGAAAACGTTGTTCCAATATATATTTTAAAGGGAATCAAATTGACATTAACACGTTATCTTTAGCTAACACTCTCAAATCCAAACTCGATGGCTAAAAGTTTCCAAAAGTTTAGAGGCTCAAAACATCCTCCCGAAAAAAATTTTCTGTAGTTTAGTTACTGAAGTAATACACCGAGGGAACATAATCCAAATAATAATCGAGAAAATCGGTCATAAGAAATCTGTTTTGGTGCCTGAGCCATTCTCTCGGTGATGAACTCTGTGCACTTCAAGTTCTTTTTTAGCAGGCATCTGCCTCTGTGTCACAATGGAAAATGCTGACACCGCTTCGTGCGTTTCACTGCTTTTGATATCTTCCCATTTGTCCGACAGTAGCGTCTCGATGTGAAAACCTCTTTTTTCTGTTTCATCTGGAAAAGTGTGACTGATGTAATGGATTTCTTGCAATGTGCACCTCTGAACATGTCCAGATGTGTTCGTTTTTGTTTCACCCCTCTCTTTTCTCTCCCAGTTTCTTCTTGTGGCCCTTTTACGTTTGTACTCTCCCCGACTGAAGTCCTCATAGTTAAGAGGATTGATTGCCCAGAAGTGTCCTTTGCCGTTTGGAGAGCGACCCAGTTTAACAAAGCAATCATTGAGCGATAAGTTGTGGCGTATGGAGTTACGCCATCCAGGTCCTCTATTCCTGAAGTAAGGGTAATTTGTTAGAATGTGGTTGTAGATATCACCAAGAACAAGTTTCTGCTGAGGAGAGCTTAAAATTGCTTTTCCAATCAGACCAATATATGACTGAGTTGGTTTTTCTTCATCTGCGGGTTGGTAGGGGATGCCTTGAAAGCTTTGGTGGTAACATGGTATACATGGACCAACATAACCAGGTAGAACTTTTATGTCTTGACCGCGAGAAGGGTAAGACATTTCTTGGCTAACGTACCCACTGTGAAAGGATGACTACGGGAACATTGGAGCTATAGGGATGCTTGGATGATAAAAAGGTGCAGAGTTGATATTCACTAGCGAAAAACTGCTTTCCATTGGCTCAAACTTGGTCAACATCAGAATTTATAGCAGGGATCAAAGTTTGGAGACTTTTACAGGATTCACACTCGAGTTCAAATGAACATGGCACGAGTGAACAAACTCTGATACTGGACTGTAAAACGCTGTGGTTTACGTAATTGATTAATGACACTTTTACTGCCACAAACAATCAAACTCCTTGATATTGGTTTTCAAGCCTAAAAAGGCTTTCATCCAACTATATTTGGGATCAATTTGTATGTCTGATCAAACAATGTTCAACAAGCCGAGTCGGGGAAAATCTTTTGATTAAATGTTTTTGTTTTCAATTCAAATCAAATCTCAAGAAGCTCAGACTAGCTAATTCTAGTTAACATATTTGTCCGCTTATTCGTATAATTAGCACCCTTATAATTTATTTAGCATTTTTGAATAACCATCACAACACATCTGCAACTTGCTTAACCTTAAAAAAGGAAGGTTTATTCTTTTATTCCCTTAGGACCCATTCCCACTCTTTTTTAACCGAGTACCTCTAACCTCCTCGTCAAAAGACAAGACTGCTCACTACGTGCAAACAACAAAAAAGGCAATTTCAAATAGCTTAGAGCTGTAAAATGGGGCGGTTAATGTAATACTTCATGAAAGACATGGCTACAAATACTGAACTAAACTGTTTGAAGTAATACTAATCCGTTCCAGTGTTCTGTTTGCAGAAGAATAGAGTTAATAACACATCCGCCCGTACAATTGTTTGGCATTGTTTGTGTAACGTGCTAATGCTAGCGTTATTGTTTACGGCCACAAAGGCGCGTGATTGCTGCGACTCACAAAGGAACAATTACTTGTGGTTTTTTTTTCTGGGGTTTCCGGTGAAACACAGAAGTACTTTTGTGATCCGGCCTAACAAATTCCTCCTTTGATGGCAATCAACGCCAAACTCAAACATGACACTCCCCTTTTTCGCGTAATTTATTTTATGTTTTCGTTGTGATGTTCAGTACTGTTTGAAGGTGGATCGATTCAACTACAGTAAAAGATTTTACTAAAAAACCAAATTGGTTTTCGTGGTTAAAATATTTTAATTTCGAAAAGTACTTTAGTTTCACAAATTCAATCACCAGGTCTATTTACTCTTAATAGCCTCGACCTGAGGATTTAAAGCTTTTTCACACATAATTCCAACATAAGCAGCGTATACCTCACATCATTAGTATTAATACATGCAAAACGCAAGTGATGCTTTTATCCTCTTTTGGAAATAAAAAAAAATATAATAAAGCAACACACAGCCATGTCTACAAAGGAGACACGAATAAAATGTCATCATTTAACTCTTTCATTCCAATGAGCACGTTTTTCAGAGTATTCAGGTAATTTCACTGTTCTTGCGCTTCATTAAAGCTACACTAAATAAATTTGAAAACTGTGATTTAAATTTGAAATCGTAACAAGAATTTTCCCTCTAAGGGAAACGGATAAATATATTCTCCCATGACCCTACAACGATCATAGACGGACGAAAACGCTTTACTGCAGCTTTGCATATGCGCATGGAACCTACGACAAATGTGGCTTCTCATCCAATAAAATAACCATTAGAAATTCATTAGAAATAAAGCTTTCTTTCTGTTATTTACAAGGAAATCAAAGACCTTATTTGTTCATTTCTCTTATTTTGTTGTCAGTTCTGCTTTTGAACTGACTCAGTATATTGAAGTATCTAATGAAAAACAATTTTTCATTAGTAAGACATATGTTGTCATATTTTTATTTTCCAGTTTTTCCTTCCGCTGTATCACTTGAAGGAGTAATGGACTGTAGTCTCTTCAACTCGCTCTGTATCTCCATAAAGCGACCAGGATTAGTCCCAACCTAAACAAAATAACCAGAGTACGATAAGAAACAGAAAAGGGCTCATTCGAGGAGATAGATCGGTTTTCGATTGAATGCAGCCAACGAAAAAACAAAGTAACCAAGACGACCAATCAGAACAATGGTAAGGGAGCCCGCGAAAACTCAAAGCAACAACATTCAGCGCGGGAAAAGAAGAGGGTGGCGAAGTCGCCATTGGTAATGTCTGCTTATGATTGCTTGAGAGGTGGCGTTAGTTATCAAGACCAATCAGCAGGAAAAGTATCCCGGACGATCCCGGATTACTTTCGATACTCTTATTAGTAATTATAATGCACTCTCCGACAAAGGGCAGTACCGGTTTACACGTAAATCCTTCTGGAATATTTTTCTAGGAGAGCCACTCTCGATAAAGTCGAAGGAAAAACTGGGATTGCTTAGGCTTTCCTCCCTTGCGACCCTGACGTTTTGAATGGCATCAATAACATGCCCAACTGAATCAGATTGCTTATAAAGTTCTCCTGCTTATAAAACCTATCTGGCTCCAATAAACACTTTGGTTTTGTGTTTCACAAGGAGCAGATGAAGATCACTTAACAAATAAACCACAAGATCCTCGCCAACAGCTTTTAAAGGAAAATGAACAGCCTGGCATAAAAATTCCCCGCAAGCAAATAAAAAACAGACAAACAAAAGGAAAAATAACTCCCCGACCCTTACTTAAACCGCATACCTACCTTTAATCGCTTTTTAATTAGAGGAGGGATATTTTCTAATACAAAGGAAGCATTCTTTAGGATGAACTCACGCTGGAAAAAAAAACACACACACAAAATGTTATTTAAGACATCAGAACAAGACGGTTGTAAATCGTAGTTCCATTGTTAACGCTGAGCTAATCAGAGCTTGTCAGCCACTTGCCTTGAATCCTGCGTCTCGCGGTTTTATAATAATTTCCGGAATGAGATTAACAAATCGAACTAAACCGAACCGAAAAGAGCAGATCTGAACAAAACATAATAAACGAAAGAGGCAGAAGATTAAAGCCTTCGGTAAGGCAGACATTTTTGTTCAGCGCGCAGGGGAGCCTTGGACATTGACTGCCGCCAGCACTATCGCCAAAGGCCACTGGCAAGTGGAAGTCCTCGCTGGAAGAGATGAACGCTTAACCCAGGAAGATACTTACCTGGCTTGCATACCGACCAGACTTAAGAATGGCCTCAAACAGAACTACTTGGTTTTCAAACAAATCTCCGATGCAATCTACAAACCATGGCTGAAGCTGAAAGTCAAAGAGAATACTTCAATTTTACAAACCAAATAAAAGATAAAGATCAGGGAAAGAAAATTATACGTTTGTGTTCACACATATAAGCGGATTTCTTGCCTGCGGTGTATTGACCGTTAATCCATCTGCTACAAAGCCCAACACTCCTTTAATAAAAGCCACGGTGGAACTACTCAGGTTCACTTTATTACCATCTGTAAACAATAAAACAGAAAAGTGAAGAAGATTCATTACTATTATCTCAGTAAGCTTCCAGTAAAGCTCCTTTCTACCGACTGTTGATTATAACCGAGAAGCTATCGGCCGACTGGTTGGAACCAGTGGCTTTCACCGAAAAAATACCGTCTCAGTAAGCTTCCAGTAAAGCTCCTTTCTACCGACTGTTGATTATGACCGAGAGGCTATCGGCCGACTGGTTGGAACGACTGGTTGGAACGACTGATTGGAACCAGTGGCTTTCACCGAAAAAATACCGTCAGGTTAAGGTAGACAACCGGCAGATTACCGACAGGTTGGAGCACACTGCCAACAGATTATTGACTGGTAGTAACAGGCTGCCGAAAGATTTCCCAGAGGCTAAGACAGACTACCGAAGTAGTAGTAGTTGTGAATCTTTATTAAAAGTGTCAAAAGCTGTCTAGCTAGGGAAAAATCCCTTACTTATTTGGGGACACTAAAAAGGTAAAAAGGAAAGGAAAAAAGACTAAGAGCTATTTACAGTAGTATATATAAATATATTATAACTAAGAGAAAATCTATAGTTTACTTATTACGGGATTTGTGATAAAAAATATATAAAATTCAAGAGAAGCAGAGGCTACAGCGTATGCAGCAATCATCCAAGAGCTCACTTATACTGAGTTGGCGTATCTTGCCTTTGAACGACATGAGGGTCTCGACCTCTCTTACACTCTTGGGTAATTTTGTCCATAACATGGGCCCTAGAAGTCTTACAGAGTGTTTGCCATAAGTGACAGTTTCATACCTGGGTATACCGAAAGGTTATCGGCAGTATGGGACTAGCTCTTGACTCAATACCGTACGCTATCGACAGGACAACTGAATGCGAACAGTCGGTCGGTGTACGTGGTTAGCGTGCTCAACTTTAGACTGAGAAATGTGAGTGCGGAACCCGACATGATGTAAGGGGAAGCTTGTTTTTAAGGGCAGGTTTACCATTGAAGCATGAACCCGAACAACTATCATTTAATTGTTGTAATTCAAACACAGAATTCTAGATAAACACAAAAAGACATGTAAACGAAATTTTTATGAAAAAATTTCAGACACAGCTTCTTACCAACGAGCTCTTGAAAACTCTCAATACCCAGGCTTTCCATTTCTTCACATAATTTTCCAAGCTGATCTGCTGGTCCTTCAAACTCCATTGGTTTCCAATTTGTTTCCTTGATGAGGAAAAAAAATATGATATGTAGTGGTTAATTTACAATAGGGAGAAAATTTCTGTAGCTTTGAGCAATTTGAAATCATTGTATTCTTCAGCGCAGAGGAGGCCACGTTTAAGAGGTTCAAAGTAAAACACAGGAAGCAGCTGGGGTCTAAGGCCCAGGCCTCACTCACCCACGCACTCACCCACTCACTCACTCACTCACTCACTCCTCGCTTAGTTCAAAGGAGCTACGTCATTGTTCGTACAAGTTGAACAAGATCATGATTAACAATTGAATTTTCCTCATTGTTATCCACCTTTGCTCCTTCATTGTTTTTCATCGCATCTTTAGTGTTGTTCCTATCTTCCTGACTTTTTATTTTGAAGTCTCCGTCAAATCAAAGGTGGTTTTGCACTTCAGAAAAAATGGCTCCGAAAAACCGCTGTTTTAATGTTTGCATTTCATGGCACTTACCATGGCCCTGTGCCTTGAAAACTTCACCATCTGATCTCTTGTGTCCAAGACTGCTTCAAGAATGTCTCTAAGTAGCATCTGCTGCATTGAAAATGTCAGGTCCAGGCCGATCTCTTGAAGCTAAACAATAAACATGTGACAAGTTTTCAGCAGTTAAAGCGTATAAGTTCTTTACTTTTGGTTTGAATCAGAATGGAAAGTGAGAACAACCGTATAACAGCCTAAGATGGGTGTAATTTCTTACGGGTCCGCCAAGAAGTAAATGAATCTGAATAGAGGCGCTACACCGTAGCAGAAACTGCAGCACAATATACCATGGCAACGAAATACAGAAAGAATTAAGGTTAGTGGCCGTGTGGCTTTCTGCGACATGAACGTAGTTGAGGACACAGTAACGTTTACCTTTTCGCACTGATGTCTCGCCATGCTGACACACACACCAGTAGCTGCTAAACCCATCTCCCTTCTGAAAACTTGATTAGAAAAGCGAGAAACAAAGTGCTTCAGTTCACTATTGGCCCACACGACAAAGGCTGTTTGGAAAGAGAAAAACAAAAATTAGTAAACGACAAGGAAAACTATTACTAGCGGAACGAAACCGACGAAACTAACAACAAGAACGTATTTGTAGCTACAGCAAGAGGGAAGAAAGTCAGGAAGGAAGATTACCATAATGATTATACTGACCAGATATCATACTGATTATTGATACTGACCTGAACTAAACCCTCTATTAGCAGAGAAAACTTGTTCAAACTCTTTACCAGTCTCTATGATGCAGCTAAAGAATGCGGTGGACAACTTGGTGATGTATAAAGATGTAGCCCCTTCAATCTTCAGTTGCCTTGAAAAACAAAGCAGTCATTCATATTACATAACGGTACTTGTGAAGGGGACTTTTGCATTGCTCTACCTCGGATCTGGTCCAAGTCTAGCTTGGTCCATATGCAGTATGCTGGGTCCATATGCAGTCTAGCTTGGTCCATATGCAGTATGCTGGGTCCAATCAATTCAAGTCATAAAAAGTAGTTATAACAAATTGCGACAGGTTACCTAATAGTATGTTTGATGGCTTCACTTCTGTTCCTCAAGAAAAGCTGACATGCCTGCCTCGTTAAAAGTAAATAAAAAGAGAGAGGAACACCATTAAGCCTCAGAAAAAGTCGCCAGTAGAACATCAGCACATTACAAACGCGAAGGAAAAACTTGAAGTGGAGAAGAGGGGACTATTTGTATTTAGTTGATGACATCGTTAAAAGTACATGGTTTACCCCGTGAAAGATCTGTCAATCACGGTTTGATCGTCCAGGTCAGCGCACTCCTGAGAAAGATTGTTGTTGGTCAGATTCACTAATGTTTTGTCCACCTCAGCGGAAGTCATCATCAGAGTCAAGGCCAGTTTCTTGAGATGCTTATCACTGTCACTCATCTGCTAGGGTGAGGTCGTAGCAATGGAGATCGTTGACACTGCCCTCAATCAATACACCACACGATCAACTGATATATCATTATTATTCGAGTAAAGAAACTTTAGCTAAAAATCCCCCCCTGATAACAAGTATGCAGAAAACATCAATATACCACACCTCAGAAGCTCTCCCCAGTCTAACCAACAGTGAGACGGTTCTTCTAGTTGCACGTGGTCCGACATGAAGTAGGAAGCTTCGACTACTATCCAACTCATCAATAAGAGCATCTACCAACAGCTTTACCCGGCGATCAAGGCGAACTCTGATGAAAAAAATTTAAAGAATGTCCCTGACAAAAACACAATGAAGTTATCAAACAAGTTGGTAGAGATCGATTACTTCCCAGCCAGTGCTGTCAATGCTTATGGTGCGCGTATTTCATTGCTTACTTTTAAACACCTTCTTTACGGTGAGGGGTTCTTTTAACAACTAATAGGACACTTCACTATATCAGCTTGACGATAAACTCTACAAGACTTACTTGATTTCTTTTGCTGCTTGAGAGCTGCTGTTTTCTTTCAAATATTTGTTTGCTGAAAGAGTAATTATAGAAGATGCTCACCTTAATCATTCGTAGCAAGGCCTGCACAGCAAGTGTTGAAGTGAAAAGAGGGGAGGGACTGGGTAACCGCGTTAGCACAATATCTAAGTTTACTATTTGCAGAAGAAGCACTACTCACTTCTGTCAATTAACTCCATGGCCCTCTCAAAATCTCTCTGTGCAATAAACATGTCTAAATCTTCAGGCAGATCTCTAAGCCAACCTTTTCCAGCCTGTAAGAAATATACAAAATGTAACTGAGAATAGATTAATTAAAGAAATAAATGAAGCCACGTTCCTGACCAGACTGAGAAGAGGGAAACAACGAGCAGGAATAGAGAGAAATAAAGACCAAACTCAAGAGAGCAGAGGAAATCAAGCTTCTCATACATCATTTGACTTCTTACTAGTGCTTGATTTGTGACTCAATTTTTTTTTACCTTGACGACATTGGAGTTTCCAGAATTAGGTGAGGACGAAGCAACAGGTCCTGTAACAGCAACACAGAAAGGTACAAAATGCGTGCTTACATCATAGACATGCCCACCTTAAATCTGTTTTATGTTTTAAGATAAACTTAAGTTACTTCAACCCACGATGGTTAACCTAATTCAGTTTATTTAAAGTAAAATAAGACAAATTGTTAAATGTGTTCCCTCTTGAAGGTTAAAAGCAAAGATTTGAAGCACTTAAATGGTACTTTAAGGGTAATTTAAATAGGAGGCTTCTGCTGGGCTGGCAATCATGTTGTACTCCACTGCCTCCTTTGTCCCACCTGAGTCCTCTCTCCGTTGTTAGCACACTGAGGGAGATAACTACATACTGAGACTACACTAGTCTTCACAGCAGATAACTACATACTGAGATTACACTGGTCTTCACGGCAGATAACTACATACTGAGGTTACACTGGTCTTCACGGCAGATAACTACATACTGGTCTTCACGGCAGATAACTT